CCAGGGAAGTGGTGGAGTCACCGTCCCTGGAGGTGTTTAAGGAGAGACTGGAGGTGGCACTTAGTGCCATGGTTTAGCCAGTGTGGTGGTGTTGGGTCACAGGCTGGACTTGATGATCTCAGAGGTCTTTTCCAGCCTCAACAATTCTGTGATTCTGTAACAGCAATAACAAGGTTCTAAGCAGGGCTCCCCTGTCTACTTCTTTTGTCTCTCTGATGGAGAGAAAAAAAGAGACAATGTGGCTATAATAAAGATGATGTGTCTAGATCCTGCTTTATATCTTTATCCTGGCTGTCTCCTATCCTTGCTGCCTGACTAGTAAATATTTAATATACTTAACCCTAACTGCCTTGAGAATTGATATTTTCTGTTATTCTCCTTGCTCTCAAGTCTTCTAGCTGTTGTAAAAGAAACAGCAATATTCTCTAGTACAAAAAATTTCTTCCTTAGGATTTTTGGTTTGACTGCCTAGAACTGACTTTTATTACTAGTTTTGTGGTAATGCTGACTGATAAAGAGAAAGAGACAACACTGGATAGCTATGCCTGATTTACATTTGGATATTTTTCTTTGCGTATATAAGCACTAAAAGACTTTACTTTTTTTTTTTTTGAATGAAAGTAGGTTTTGCAAAACTGTGCTGCTTGTGCACATTGTGCTCATCAGCAGCCCGTTAAATTGCTGATGTACTCTGATGTGGTCTGAAGGCTGAAAGGAATGCAAAGAGGCTTGATCAGGGATGCAGTTTTTCATGAAGAAATGGAAGGTTCAGAAAGAAACTGCTATGGAGACTCTATCTGAAGATGAATTACAAAAGCAGAACTTGGCAGATGGGAAGAAATCTGACATATCCAAAGTAGAGCAGAAGATGCCTAAGCCTGAAACAGATGATCACTATGTCATTCCTCATGGCAGACAGCCTTCATTATAGCCAAATGTTGCAGTCATTATTTTAGGCCAGGGTTACCCCCAGGCCAGAATTACAGCAGAGTGTAGCCGTAAGGCTCATAGTATGGTGTTAAGAGGAGTCAGGATTGAAAGCAATAAAGCAAAACAAAGTCCTGGGGTGAACTGAGTTCCTTCATGTGTTGTAAATGCAAGTAAAGGAATAACACACAAGACAATCTCTCCAGAAGCAAAGAACCAGCAATTTTTTTTTTCCCAAAGGCCAGTGGTGGCCAAAGTTTTTCTACAAAAAATGGCACATTTTGGAGTGAACTGAAAAATGAAATCATGCACAGGTAGCACAGTGTAGAGATGAATTTGTAATCTCTTGCTTATTACTGGTACTAATAGCACTGCAGTTATGTTCTGCAGTAATAGTTGCCTATTTCTACATATCCTGAATTAGCAGACAAACTGATTATCACTCTTCCTTAGATGTAAAAGCTGAGGTGAAATAGCTGATGTCTTCTAAGCACAGTCACACAATTAATGGTGGGGCAGAGGCAACTTAAACTGGTAGATATGTTCAGTTTCTAAAGTAAGACAGTAGACTGCGTTTTTGTTATTTGATTTTATGCATTTTGTGCACTTGCAGTGTCCGTCATGGGATTTATGAAGGCAAGCGCTGCATTAATGCACCTGACACATTTAAACACCTTTTTACCTGGAAAGAGGTCAACAAAATGCCAAGAAAGTGATGTTATATGAGTGAATTTTCATTTAATTATCCTGTATTTTGAATAAATGAAACAATTGTCTGAGATATCTCTTAATGTCCAAATTTACTGAAAATTTTTGAGAAGCTTCTATTTATAAGGATTCTGTGTGTCAGGAATACCGCCAAGAAGCATCTTAGTTTTGAAATAACTGAAAGAATATACCCAAATGAACACATTTCTCCATTCTGAGGTAGCTAAGAGAAAGGCATTTTGAAAGAAAATGGAGCTTTGCTGAAATTCATGGCAGTGTCCAAAGAAAACCTGAACACACTCCTGCGTGAGTTCTTAGAAAGCTAAATGGTGGAACTGATGTGGATCTGTATACTATTTCAGGTCAGTATCTTGAGTTACTAGGACTAGGAGGAAAAGAAACAAAACTGTCCTAGTCAGGTATAGTCTATAATTAGGCTTGGCAAAAATGTCTGTTTGCCAGCTTGTTGGGTTTTGGTTTTGTTTTTGTTTTCTTTCCCCTGCTTCACACCAGTTCTATTTGCCACTATCTCAGTTTTCAGTATTAAAAGTCTTAGTTTTAACTTATTTAGGAAAACTCTTAAAAATTATGCAGGAGATGAAAATTAGCCTGAAGAGGGATGTGTACCTTTGTCACAGTGAACCTACACAGAAGTTTTCTGAATCGGTCAACCCATGAAACACAGAATCTGCAAAGTAGATCTGTGTCTCCCTTGAGCCTCCTCAGTCTTTAAATTCAAAATTTGTTTTGGCACAGTGCTTGATTGCCATCACAGTAACACGCACTGTGAACATTGTGATAACTTTCTTTAACTAGAACCCAGATATCGATGCAGGCAGCAATGTTCATACCCTCTTTCAGCCTAAAGCATTTTCCAGATAGGAATTAATTTATAATGAAAACTATAATAGTCCTAATTTTTAGAAGATAAATGATTGCTAATTAGTTACAATAATTTGAACTTTTATAGCGCTTTTCTCTATGGATATCAAAACACTTTACTAAGATGGGTAAGTATTATTATCTCATTTTTCACAAGAGATAACTGAGACAGCCAGAGGTGAAATGGCTGATACAAATTGTACACGTCATTACTGGGTTTGGAATTAGAATTCAGGTCTCTGAACATTCCACTATGTATTTATGCAACTAGTCTGTAACAATTTTTTCAACTTCAGTGATATCAGTTCTGTTACCTCGTTAAAACCTCATGAATTTAATTTAAATCTGTTGAGATATATTGCAATTGTGTTCTTTTGATTTGTTTTCTGAACGTAAAACTTTCTGGATGTCTATTCTCAAGTTTTTCTCAGCACTCCTGAGGGGTAAAAGCTTATTTTAATTCTTAAATAAAATTATGCAGGTAAGTAACACTCTAGTAGAGACTCAGAACCTTTGGATGAAGATTCAGTAAGGCAGGCTGACTATATGATGATAAGAATGATGTGTCTACAATATTTCTCTACCCTTGCTGTCCTTTTGGGGGATAGTCTTATCTTTGGACACTTTGCCTTTCCTGAAATAGTCTGAAATGCCTCAAAAGATCTTTTCCGAAATGAATTCTCACCCAAAGCCAGAAACAGGAAGTGCATTTTTAGGAACTTTTGCTTGGTATTGAATACAGGTTTACACATATAAAGAGATTCCTTTGCATCCTGCCTATACTTGTTATTCTGAATATTTATGTTTGTTTACATTCAACTTCTGAATTTTCCAATAGTATAACTGTAGTATTTGTACAGAATTGATCTAATGTTCACTCGAAGGTGCTTTCTTTGGAAATGGAGACTATGCTTGAAATCAAAAGGCAGAACAAATTTAATATTAGAGCAATGTTTGTGCTTTTTTTCTTATTTCAGAGACGTTTATATAAATGATTAATGTGTTTGGGTTTTATACAAAAAAAATTGCATCTTTTCCAGTCCAGAGGATAACAATAACTACTGAAATTCTAGAACTCTGAAAAGTCTGAAAGCTGAAAAAAAAATGCTGGGGGATATTAGTTAAGCTGTTTATAGTTTGCTGGTTTTTTTTTCAATTGTGTTACTTCTATTAATTCACTTTCCATTAATATGGAATATTTTGTAGAAAATCCTTTTTTTAAAGATTAATCTCTCCTGTTTCTCTGTTCAAGATACCAGATGATCTCAAAATGTCTGTCTCCTGATATTCTTGTGAAGTCCACCAGAAAAGTGAAAGAATAGCCTTGTTGTTTCAAATCCAAATTTTCCCCAGTGTATTAAAGAGAAGTCCAAAACATGTTATTCTGTATTCAGCTTCCCTTGTTACACAATATTTAATCTTTCTATAGTAGTGGTGTACATAGAGCCTGGAGTCTGAAAACCTAAACCAATGTATTCACCTTCCAAATTAGGACATACCTTTGGATTATCCATATTTGTAGTGAGCAGGCAGAACACAAGTATTATCTTTGGGGATCTCAAAGCATTTGAGGAGAAATGAAAAATGGTCTTAAATGACAGATGAAGGCAAAAATACTGATTATTTTTCTCTACCGCTACCAAGTAAAGAGGACATGCCATCTTTTTCAGGGCAACAGGAAGGAGCTGATGAGAAGCCAACAGAAGGTTCAGAGGCAGATCACAGTGGTGTCCGTGAGTGTTTCGCATTGTTGTATAGTGATTTCAATACTGCAGGTTCACTACGGTGCTTCTGGCTTCTCCCACCACTCACTCCTTCCTTACTAGTATGTGTTCATCTTCAGTTGCTACTCTTGGTGTTGACAAATATAATTTTGACTCTGGTCAAAGATGACCCCTTCCTGTGAAGTTCTAGGCTGACCACTGTGTTTGTAGTTCCCACTGTCCCTCAGCCCACAGAGACTTTCTGCTGAATTTTTTTGCTGTTTAGACTTGTCTCTGTAGCTATTGCTGCAATCAGTTTCTTAACTTTGCCAGCCTCTTTCAGTCAGAAACCTGTATTTCTCTTTTTAACACCATTTTAATCTTGAAATGTCTGTTCCGTGTCTATTTCACATGTTGTGCGTGTCAGCTAGCACACTAGGTCTAGGTAGCACGGATAAAAGAATCTACAAGTGAGTGTCCTGTAGAGCTTTGGAAAAAAATTTTATTGGCACATTACTTTTGACGTTTGTTTGATTTCCCTATTATACCGTTTTCCTGTTATATGATGTGTTTCTTTCCTTCCCCTCTGTTTTAAAATACGTTTTTTTGAGAGCAAATTTCTCCCTACTCTTAGTACTAAATATTAGGAAGTCCATTGTTTGGCAGAAGGTGGTTCGTTTTTCTTCTGCTACTACAGAGCTTTGTATTTATTTAATATGGCATGTATGAGCAAGTTAGTCAAAGGAATTCATACTTGAGAGTAATCCCAGTCCTTTCCAGAAGAAAGCAAAACTAGCCTTCCAAAGGAGTCACCAACTGCAGAGGAACAGGAGGATGAAGTGGAGCAAGTGGAACCACACACTGAGAGCATTGGTGAGTACTGCTTTCCGCTGCGGAGATGTTGGCATGGCCTTAAAAATCCCACTACTTTCTAGTTTTCGCTGTCACAGTTACGAACAGCACCTCAGACAAGTGCCATCACATTACAGTTACTGAGTTTCTCAGCTCCCTTTCAGTTGTGTTACCTTGTGTTCTTCATTTTGCTCTTTCCCATGGCTGATCTCTGACCTCTTTGGTTGTTTTTCATAGAACACCTAGGAGAGGAAAAAAAACTGAGACAGGGTCAAAAGCTTATGAAATTGGTAACGGAGGTATGATCTCCAGTATCAAACTGAAAAGTACTTTTAACAAGAGCTTATGACAAGTTGGAAGTCATGTTGACAATATTCTGCATTGAAGTTCAGTGAAGAACTACACTGAGTGACACATTAGTGATGTGTCTTTTGAGGACAGTGGTGTCTTCTGGTGGTCTGTTGTATGTATTTTTATAATTTCGTATTGTGATGTGTGTTCAACGGCTACTAAAATTTTATTTGGTTTCCAAACCTGAGACTTCACCACCACCATGCAAAGCTGAACTACTTCAGTAATCTTGAGTATGAAAATCAATGTTTTTAAATAAGTCTCAAAATTTTTCTTAGTTCAACTCTTTGATTTTGAATATTCACAGTAAAGTTTTTAAAAGCATGAGGGAGTCCTTGTTATAAACCATTCCAGGACAAGTTGCTACTGAGACATGATACCCCTGCTTTGAGCTATGGAGTGCCTGTTATTCTGTTGAAGGAAATGTGTGAATCCTTCCCTCTTGCAGTTAGGTGCAAATATCAACGAGGAGAGTAACATTTATGGTGAATATAAAGTTTTATTATATTCCCACTTCTGAGGTGCAGAAGGCAATTTGGAAGAGCAAGATGATAGTGAAGTACCCCCAGAGGCACAGCAAAAGCCTGAGAAGGTAGAAAAGAAAATCTCAGAAACTTTCTTCTATAATTATGAAGATATATATTCACGGCCATTTGTCACTGAAGACTCTGGGATACCCGTTAACCTTCTTACTCTTAAGTATCCTTTCTGTTGAGGCTGTGCAAATTTAAAGCTAAGGATTTTTAATGTATGTTCTTAAAATTGTACTTGTCTAATTTGGAGCAGCCTCTGTGGCATTAGTGGGATACCTCTGGTTGAGACACAGCTAAGTGTCCTGACCATTTATGGTAAATTCTGGGTGAATTTAATCTTAAATGTTATCTTGGCCCCATAAATATTTCTTATTGGACATAATGCTTACTGTTACAAGTACTCTTGTAGAACTAGATCATGGACAACTTAAGGTGACCAGGCAAAAGACTATTGTAAGAATAACCCCCACAAAGCAATCCCTTTCCCTTTCTCTTGGGGAATACTGGTATTCCCCAAGAAGCTGAGGGAAGGGCAGGAGAAGAGCAGCTGTCTACCTCATAGTTCCTCACAGAACTGCTAAGGGAGAAGTGTGGAAGAAACCAGGTAAATTTGAAGGCTGATGCTCAGAAAATCTGAATGGGTAGAATGAAGAAGGTGATGCCCATCAATTAAGAGTTATAGTAAGTCTTTTCCCAAGTAGATATGGCCAAATAGGATGTGATTTGTGACTTTCACAAGTGCTGGTGACTTTCTCTGCAGACGCAGTGAAGTTGCTATTGAAGACTGGATTTTCCCTTTTCTACATCTGCCCATAAACATTTAAGAAGTGAGCTTGAGCACTTCCTTGCTTTGATCTCTTGTCTGTAGAACAGTTCCTAGTAATTGGATACATATTTTTTACATTTTGTTTGGAAAGAGAACACCGATAGAAGGTAAATTCCTTGCAGCCCCAAAGGAGGCAAGAGGTTTGCTCTCTAGTGGAGGCAAAAGGATGGAATACAAACTTCTGGACGTTTTCACTTTTGCCTTCCCTTCAGTTATAGAGCATGTTTATCTTCACTGCTGAACAAAACTATTTCATACCATCAGGCTTTTAGTACCCAGTTTCAGTATCCCCATTTCAGTTTTGGTTTAAGTGATCCACTTAGTAAACTTTTTTAGAAAGCTGGTGTCAAATCTTTTCCTTATTAAACTGTTCTCAGACATTCGTTTGGATATGACTGCACAAGAAGTGCAAACCTCCTGCCGATGGATAGCCAAACACTGATGTATATAGCAGGCAACCAAGTGGTGCTCCTGGACCTCAGAACTAAATCTCAAAGTTATCTCCGGAGCACCAGTGGTGGTGGAATTGGATTTATCGCGGTATGGCTTTCGTTTTGTGTTTTAAGGTGTTAGTCATTTTCTAGAAATGAAATGTTCACTTGATTGTCCAATGGGAGATTTCTACAGCTGCACATGGATATACGTAAGAAAGCATGGTATTGATTAGGGGGATATGTGGACCATGCAGCATGGGCTACTCAGCCCATCAACATAACTGGCAGAGGACTAATAGCTACATACTTAAGTTCCAGGCTCAGGTACCTTAAAGAACTGACATATGCCAACTGGGTTAAATCTTTAGAGCTAATACGTTCTTATTTTGGCTCATATAAACTCTTTCTTTTTTTGAACACTCATCCTTGCTAGTCACAACTGATATTAGGGTTTTGCCTGCACTAAAGATTTAGAAAGTTAAGTTCCTAGGTAAATTAAGAGGAAAAAGTATCTGGTTTTACTCTAGTAAGGTCCTGCAGAGACCTTGGACTCTTGAAGCACCGAACCCTGTGAAGGATTACCATCTCTCAGTTGTATTCCACATGAGCAGGGCTTTTGGAATGCCAGCCTCAGGCTGTTCTGCTCCATTGCAAGCAAGCTTTTCTGGGGAATTGTCGTAAATCTTTTTCTTCAGAACAGTGCCATTCAGGGCAGCTTTTCTGCCATCCTGACTGACATCTGGTGAAGCAGATAGCTTCTGACACAGATGTTGCTCATGGAAAGATCAGCTAGTGGGCTGAGTGAGGTAGAAATAGTGCAAGAATGCATGATAAAACAAGTTATTTCACAATTTATCACAGTTCTGCATTATATGTGCAATATACCATTTTGTGTGCATAGTAGCTTCATTCTGATATTGAGCAATAGATGAGCAGTTGTTCAGAATAAGCACATGGAAGAATGCAGCCTAGTATTTATGGCAATATCTTTTGACTAATATATGAGTAAATATAGTAACTCAATAACTAGCAGGATAGAGACCAAGGCATCATTACAGCATGCAATGGGACTTCTGCTTTTTTCAAGGCACACCCTACTAAGCAGTACTTTGCAGTAGGAGAAAAAGGAAAGAAGCCAAACCTCATCATCTATGATTATCCTTTGCTGAGGCCCTACAGAATACTGCGAGGTAGTGTAAAAAGTTCTACTTTCATTTTACACAAATGGGCCAGTGTTTATAGATCCCAGCAGATGGAGCAGTGGGTCACTTTGGAAGTTCGGGAGGAAATTCAATCTCTTGGTCCTTCAAAGCAAAAGAGAAAACATGGTTTCAAGCTTTTTCATTATTGCATGGGAGGAAACTTTTATTTAGTAGAAATAGCCAACTGAGAACTACTATCTAGTGAAAAAATAATTGCAGTAAAAGTTGAGTTCCTTCTTAGTAGATTTTTCCTATCGTTTCTTCTGCTTTTCTCTGTGTGTGTGTATTGAAACTTGTATGTTTCTTCAGGTGGAACTGAGGAAGCCTATGTTTCTGGTGACTTCAACAATGCTGGCACTTTGCTGGCCAGTGTTGGGAGCAGCCCCGACTGCATTCTGACTATCTGGGACTGGAAGCAAGAAAAGATTGTGTTGAGGTCAAAAGCTTTTTCAGAGAATGTTTACAAGGTCACATTTTCTCCTGATAATGAAGAGCAACTAACTACATCTGGACCAGGACACATCAGGTGTGTTTACTGCTTAGGATTAGTACATATCACCTCTAAAGTCATAATATGTAGAAGATGTCTAACAAGGATGCATAATTAGCAAACGTAGACCAATGAGGAATGATATTTTACCTGACCATTGCAATTACAAAAATAGAGCAAGTTTAAGTCCTTCAGCCAATCTCCCAAGGCTTTTAACACTTTGTTGTGTAAAAAGGATGATTCTTGATGCTGAGTGTTGGTACCACTGGCTCCATTCTTGCACTTTCAAGCACTGAGGAGAATTAATAAAAAATACTTATATATATGTGTCTTCTGGCTGGTAACATAGCATATATGCTTCCTGTGCCTTCTGGGCTTTCTACCTTTAATTTCTTAAACTCGTGCTGTTTGGGCAGCCATTAGAACTGGTTGCCAAGTCCTCTGATACCACCAAAAGTCTGCAAGGAAGCCTCACAGAAGAAATGCTTCCATACACTTCCTTCTCTGGTAAGTTCATGGATCCTTTTGTAAGAAAAAATAAAGCACAACTTTAAGCTCTTTGGGACAAGGATTAGCTTTGTGTTCTGTATTTGTCCAGTGTTAAATGTTAATATAGTAGGGAATTAAGATGTGACTTGGATGTTATTGTAATAGAAATAATAACTTTCAAAGAAACTTTAGATACATTATAATTTTAACAGAGGGATCGTATCAAAATCTGAGATTAGCGTTATAGTTTAGTTGTGAGGTGGGTCTGAAATAGCAAATGGTTTATTTAGTCCCAGAACAAATGTATTTTAGAATACATTATTTATGGAAAACTGGCAAAACAAAATATCTTTTTTTTTTTTCAGCTAAAATACTATGAATAAACTCTGACACAGCTTGTAGAACATGATAAACATGACCTTTTACCCAGGTGTAGTCTCAAATGCCAGTTCCCAATACCCATCTTAAATGAAATGAAATGTCTCCTGCACACAGAGTGAACCATCACTAATTTTAGTAGATGTTAATTTTCCTCTAATGCAGTAATTTAAAGTTATGTTTTATACTGCTAAAAATATAGTGAACAAATAGAAGGAGCTATGAAGATCTAGGATAAAACACTTGGCTCGGTGAGATTTTTTACTCAAGCTAAAGTCCATGGGGATATTTTGATGAAATTCAGTGAAGACCTTAGCGTCCCTTGGATTTACAAATGTGAGCATCATGCACTAACGACAGCAAGAGTAAAATAGGTATCCCTAACTACATGTACTCGTTGTAGCTGCAAAGATGTAGATAAGCATTCTACACTTATTAATTTTAAGTAGCAGTCTAATCTTCATTCTGCCCATTCCAAATTGTTCTAGATTTGTTATAGGGAAATGTTTGTGTAATTACAAGGCTTTTTCTCATTTTAAAAAGAAAAGCTCAAGGTCTCCTATGAAAAACAGTAATAAATGAACAGTCCTTACCTCAGAGGCCCCCCTGGTAGGATTATTACAATGTCTGAGAGGGACTGAAGAGTATGTTTAGGAAATCTTGTGTCAGCAGTGTTTTTTCTGTGCTCAGGTTCTGGAAGATGGTTCTCACTTTCACTGGTCTCAAGTTACAAGGAGCTTTGAGAAGGTTTGGGAAAACAGCAATGACCGACATTATAGGTCATGTGGAGCTGCCTGATGGGAAGGTAACTAAGAAAACGTTTAATTGATTTTATATTCCCTCTCAGGTCTTGATATAAAGTCTGCTGAGTGAATTGGAGAGTTCCTATTTACTTCGAAGTGATTTGCATTAGACCCTCAATGCACTGCTCTGATAAGCTAATATTGACATTAACTTGCCAAAAACCTGTCTTGCTTTGTAATAACTGAAAGTGCAGTTAGTATTGTAATTCCCAGACAAAAGATCTCTGTTAGCACAGAGCTGAGGCTTCTCTAATGGGTTAGTGAATATGTTAGTGTATAGAAATATAAAGACTGTTAGCCTTAATTTTTAACTGTTTCAGTGCATGCATGTAAATTATGTCACATCACTAAAAAGTTGAATCTTTCCATCCTTTACACCTTCTCTTGCAAATAGCTATACGTTGCTATTGATTTAATGCTGTCATGGAAGGAAACCACAGATGTTAATCAGTTTCTCACCAATATTTTTGCATGATGAAGCGCGGGTTCTTACGTGCTTGTCTTCATTTGCATTGAAGGTTATCTCAGGGACTGAGTGGGGCAATTTGCTGCTTTGGGAAGGGGGCCTCATTAAAGTAGAGCTCTGTCGAGCTGGGAAAAAGCCTTGTCACAGTGCCACTGTCAGCCAGATAGTTCTGGATGAAGGAGAACTTATCACTGTTGGAAAAGACGGTTTCATTCGGGTAAGTTTTTCTTCTGCTCTTCATTTAGGTATGCAATTTTGTGGTCAGCAGGTAAATGTTATACATTTTCTTTACCAGGGCCTATTTATGGAGGCAATTTTGCAGTACAGTTTCTTTCTGAGAATTAATTTATTAGAACAAACAGAATAAAAGCACATCTCCACAGTGTGTATGTTTGAGTTGAATAGTGTTCATGCAGCGTTCTCTGTTTAATAGTAGTAGACAAATCACCTTTTACTCTAGTAAATCAAAATAATTTTCAGTGATCCTTTTAACAGTTTTGTTGTTGCCTGCATTCTAACATTCTTTTTTCATGTGTGGCTTTGGTTAATCTTTATATAATTTTCAGGCATTTGGTATTATTTCAAAGGATGAACTACAGCAATACCTGAAATTAATTTTTTGAGTAACTGAACGCTCAGATTATTATAATGATGGAAATTAACTAGCATCTCAGAGATACTTATTCTGAAATAGAGGAACAATTAAAAGAAGAAGCATCCTGAAGTTAACATAAAATTCTATAAATTAAGGTCAAAAAGTTTTCCTTATCCATATGACCAGTTTCCGATCTCACCTGTCAGTTATCAAAGATGTTGCAATCTTGTTTGCCTCCTCTTTAAGGGAAGATATGATGTGTCTTCTGTTGACGTGTGAAAGACTCAGATAATCAATGGGAAGCTGACTGTTATGGACAGTGGAGGGTTTCAAACATCCTGGAGTTTTTGTTGTTGTATTTTACAAAATGATATTGTCCCACTGGGAAAATTCATCTGGTACACTTTTACATGTACTTTGCATTGCACCCCGGTTTATCAGATGGTAGTCACTGATTGTCACTGGTTACATTCAAAACAGTAAGGCAGATATGACAAGTTTCACACTCCACTTGTAGAGTCTATACTCCCCTGCTTTCTTAGGATTTTCCATAATGATTTATATTTCCATAATGATTCTTATGATTTTCCATATGAATTCCATATTAATTGTGTATGAAAACATAACCTGGCCTTATAGCCCTACCCTTTTGTTTGATTTGGGTTTTTTTTAATGCTTCCAACACCATGAAGATGTGGAATTCTGAGGCAATAGATGCTGCTGATCCTGTGGATGACACAGAGTTATTGGAGGTGGAGCCCATGAATGAACTTTGTGTTGGCAAGAATGTCAGTCTGAGTTGGATATCAAAAGTTTATGACGGTGGACAGCCCATTTGGTACGCTCAGGTAAGATACACTCAAATATGTCCATCTCTGTGGAGAAACACAGAATGAGGGAAGTGGTGTTAAGTAACAGCAGGAGTCCATTACAAATTAGTACATTTCTTTTTGGTAGAATTCAATCTTCTTCTGGATATATATGTAATCATCTTCTTTCAAACACTGGAAGTCTTAAAGAGGTGGCCGATGACTAAAGCTTGTTAGTGTTTAAGAGGCATTTGGAGAACGCCCTTAATAATATGTTTTAGCTTTTGGCCAGCCGTAAAGTGGTCAGGCAGTTGGATTCGATGTTTGTTGTAAGACCTTTCCAATTGAACTGAACTATGCTATGCTATTCGATTTTTTTTATATATATAGCAATATGTATAGTAACATGAGAGACTTTGGCTTTCAGAGCCTGAACTGCGTAAGGATAGGAGAATGTCAAAAGGTATTGTCCATGTTCTGATGTCTAGGACTGATAGGATCAACATCACAACGTTCAGTCCACAATGATAAACACTAAGGAATTTTTAAGGAGGCACCATGGGCAGTTTTATTTCCAAATTGAGTTTGAAAATACTCAGATCACATATTTTGGTTTTTCCTTCTTCAGGATACCAATGGAGCAATCTGGAAGCTGGATTTGTCTTTTTCAAATATGGTAAGTTTGTTTTCATCTTCTTTCTTCTGATTCCTTCAGTTCCTTTGCCATAACTTCCTTCAGCTATACCGGGTGCATCTGCAATGAAGTTTGTGTTTTATGAAGCTGCACAGTTGAAAATTTCAGCATTGAAACACTTTTTTAAAATTTATATTCATGATGTTATAGATTGCAATGATTGTGCAGGGTTCTAAAATATAATTTGATTTTTGATTTCTGGAATTTGGTCTGCAAAATTCAAGTTACCTTAAGGAAGTTTTATTCCTATAACCTGGTAATAAAAGTTATATAGATGCGGGAAATGAGTTCGAGGAGTATCAATACATTAGTATCTAAGTAGGTGTTTGAAACATTCCTTACTGTTGTCTTTGAATGACATAAAGAACTAGGAAAAACAAGGAGAAAATGAAATGCACTTAACATGTTTTATCCTGCTTGTAACTAGTGTTAATGCTGGAGAAGTTTTTGGTGGAGAAATAGATGACATGGTTAAATGGGGGGTATTTAATTTTTGCTCCCAAGCATATTAATGTAAATGGGAACACTCCCTTGAAGTTGATGTTGTGGTTTGACCCTGGCCAGCGTCCAGGTGTTCACCACAGCTGCTCTATCACCCCTGCTTCTCCACTAGGCAGGAGGAAAAAATATAACAAAGGGCCCATGGTTTGAGATAAGGACAAGGAGATCACCTGCATCTACCGTCCCGGGCAAAACAGAATTGATTTTGGGAAAATTTGTTAAATTTGTTAAAGGACAAATCAGAGAAGAGTAATGAGAAATAAAAACATATCTAAAAAAAATAACACCTTCCTCCCACCCCTCCCTTCTTCCCAGGCTTAATATCAGTCCCAATTTGTCCACCTCCTCCCCCCGAGTGGCACAGGGGGACAGGGAATGGGGGTTGTGGTCAGTTCATCCGATGTTGTCTCCACTGCTCCTTCCTCCTCTGGGGCAGGACTCCTCACTTTTCGTCTGGGCCATTGTGGGGTCCCTTTCACAGGGGACGATCTTCACACAATTTCTCCAACGTGAGTCCTCTCACAAGAGACAGTTCTTGACAAACTGTCCCAATGTGAGTCTCCCCATGGTGTGCAGTCCTTCAGGGGGAAACTGCTCCAGCGCGAGTCACCTGCGGTGTCACAAAAGTCGTGCCAGCCAACCTGCTCCAGTGTGGGCTTCTCTCTCCATGGGCTACAGTTTCTGGCAGGAGCCTGCTCCAGTGTGGGCTTCCCACCGGGTCACAGCCCCCTTCAGGCATCCACCCCTCTGGCGTGGGGTCCTCCACGGGCCACGGGTGGACATCTACACCCTGTCACCTCCATGAGCTGCAGAGGGACATCCTGCTTCACCATGGTCTGCAACACGCCCCAGGGGAATCTCTGCTCCAGTGCCTGGAGCACATCCTCCCCCACTCTTTACTGACCTTGGTGTCTTCACATATTCTCACTCCTCTGTCTCCCTGCCAGTTGTTGTGTGGTGCAGTTCTTTTTTCCCCATCTCTTAAATATGTTTTCACAGGGATGTTCCTATACTATTATTACTGACAGGCTCAGCCTTGGCCAACGACGAGTCCGTCTTTGGAGCCAGCTGACATTGGCTCTGTCAGACTTAGGGGAAACTTCTAGCAGCTTCTTGCAGAAGGCACCCCTATAGCGCCCCCACCACTAAACCAGCCAGGCAAACCCAATACAATGTAATAAAGTTCTGTGACAACAGGTAAAATTATGTTCCAATAATATTATGGTAAAGAAAAGATAAAGAAAGCATACTATAAAAACTAATGTCAAAAATGTATAGCAGAAACTGGAATTCCTTGGATGATAAAATGATTTCCCAGATGGCATAAACCCTAGGTTTGCCTTCAGAGCAGCAGCTCTTTGTTAAAAACGCTAATTCTAAGCCTGAAACCACTTAATGAAAGGAATTCCTCTTTATTTTCACATGATAAATGATGGAATCTTAAATTGAACTTGCTGTTCCTACATCAACTTTGATCATGATCTTTTTATGAACATTTAAATAAATAATAAAAAAAAGTGCATATAGGTAGAATCATGGAATCATAGAATCATAGAATGCGTTAGGCTGAAAGGGACCCTTTATCTAGTTATCTAGTCCAACCACCCTGCAGTGAGCAGGTACATGTTTAACCAGATCAGGTTGCTCAGAGCCCCATCCAGCCTGACCAGGAATGTCTCCAGGGATGGAGCCGCCATCACATCTCTGGGCCACCTGTTCTAGTGTTTCACCACCCTCATAGTAAAGAACTTCTTCCTAACATCTAATCTAACCTACCCTGCTCTACTTTAAAACCATTGCCCCTTGTCCTGTCACTACACACCTCTGTGAATAGGCATGTACCTCATGGATGCCAAATTCTGTTCATGCAAACAGCATCTGTCTAGGTTTCTCAGGTTTGCTGTAGGTATGGCTGGTAATACCTTGTAAGTGCAGCTCCAGAATATAGCAGCAGTTCTGTTCTTCTGTTTTGCACTGCAGACCCGAGATCCAGAGTGCCTGTTTACGTTTCACTCTGGAAGGATTGAGGCCATGAGTGTCTCTCCCATTACATATCTTATGGCCACCACTGCCCTTGACCGTAAGTACACTATCCCTTTCCTCTCATACCACTGTAATTATTGTTTTTGAAGAGAAATGATTCTTGGTTTGGAAACAAAGTTGTATATTTGTTCGTGAAAAGTCACTTTACTTTTAACGGTTGTTATTCCTGGAATCAGTTGCTTAATAGTTGGGACAGATCATTAATGGTTTGAAGTAATGCGTTAAGACTCCTTCATCTTAAAAGCCTGGGATTTTAATGAGAGAAGTTTTTAAAGGGAAACTTTGTAAATTCTGTTCATTCTGAAGGAATGGCTGAAAAGATGAGACATTTTGTTTGAATAACAGCACTTGTATTCAAGGCTCTGGATTGATAAGTGTTGGGATTTTTTGTTTTTTAAGGAATTGTATCTCTAGCATTGTGTAAGTCATTGTGAATATTAATATCTGTGTTTTTCTTAGCAACAACTATCATGCTTATTTATCTTATATAAATATTTGCAATTTAGACCTCACAAATAGCTTTATCATGCTTGAAAGAACCACTGGCCAGAACATTAACAACATCATTTACACGTCTCAGAAAATGCTACAAGGTCTTTCACTCAATTCTTGTCAACAGTGTCTTGTTGTTTGTCTGTGTTATACAATGTACATGTTCTTCTAGCCTGAAGACAAACTCCTACCAGTTGAACAAATGACACTTAGAATATATGCCAACTGGAATGGAATTTTATTCAGACCAATGTGTGTGTCTGTGAATCTGTTAGTTTCACCTCTGGTGAAATTGGCTTTTCTTTGGACAATCTCCCATTTTCATCCATCTACATATTTTCCTCTCCAGTCAATGCTAAGTAGTAGCATGGCATCTTTTCCTATGTTGTCAGTACAGATTTTCCATACTTCTGCCACAGTTTTGTGATTACTTGAAAATTACACATGGTGGCCTTCTTGTTGCAACCCTCAGTCCCCACAACTTTTGGGAGTTTGTAATTTAAAGGGTGAAGGATACTTATGTTTAGCTCATGAGCACTATGCTAGCTGTGATACTCTGTAACCACCAGTCATGTCTTTCCCTGCGGCATTTGTTACGCAAGAAGAAATAATAATAACATCATATCCAGCTTTTAATTAAGATAAATAGACATTTCTCCATAAATCTCAAAATGTAAGTCATGTTGCAAGAAATAAATTCTTATTGTCTCCTTCCTACACAGGGTCAGTGCGTATCTATGATTTCATCAGCAACAGGCAACTGAGTGAAATTAAATTTAAACAAGGAGGAACAGCACTGATGTGGGCACCTCATGTTGTGAGTTTTAGCTATTGTGTTTCCAAAAACTCTTAAGGGGGCCTGTGAGCCTGCCAGCATCAAGAAGGTTACTTGCCATATGATCATAGAATCATAAAATGGCCTAGGTTGGAAGGGACCTTAGAGATCATCTAATCCAACCTCCTTGCCATGGGCAGGGACACCTCTCAACTAGACAAGATTGCTCAAGGCTTCATCCAACCTGGCCTTGAATGTCTCTAGGGAGGGGGCATCCGCAGCTTCTCCGGGCAATTTATTCCAGAGTCTTGCCACCCTCTTTTTTTTTTTTTTTTTTTAAGTATCTTGTTTTAATACACATAAAATATTTTTCCAAGGTCACTTTAGAATAAGTGGCATACAGTCTAGTAAAATGGGAGTGCCCATACAGGTGTATCAGGTTGAACATGCACAGTATATCCTACAATACAAAAACTGCATTTAGAGTTTTTTTCTTGCTCTGGAATGATTTGGCAGCTTCAAAAAACATTTCCATTCTCAAAATCAAGTCATTGAACAGCAAAACCCAAAACTGAGATGCAGTCTACCCCAACTGCCAAACACCACACATCTCTTAGTAAGGACCTCTTAACAGATCAAGCTGCCACAGTTGTAGAGCTCTCTTTATTGTGACCCTTGAAGTACTGATGCTCTATTCACTGACAAAAGGGTGTGAGATTGCTGTAGTTCTTCACTTTTTCAGAGAGTTCATCAGTGATTAGTTGAGCGGTAAGCATTGCGAACAGGTGTCCAAATAACAGAGCATCTAATTCAGTTGGTTGCTTATTGAAGAAATACAGCTGAGTTCCTAATCTCTGGGAGAGAGCCTGACAACACTGATCTGCATCTTCAAGCACCTGTTGAGGTGTCTGTCCAGCCCATCCAATGACTTTCATCTTTTGCTTCACCTCCCATTACTTCTGATATGACAAAATGTGGTTAAGAGGCCATGGGTAAGGGGAGCCGTGCCTCAGGTGAGTAATCTCCTCTGCATCAGCACACCATTGGAGATAGAGCTCTGCTGTCAAGAGCATGTTACTGACTAATTCTGTATAGGCTTTCATCTCAGCTTTGTGGACTTCATCCAACCCATCACTGAGAGAATGGCCCTTGGCTTTTACAAACTGGACTATGGGCCCAAGTTCAGACACTCCGTGATTTACCGCATGAATAAAGGGTACTTTGCCAGACAGAGACATGTACTTGGCATTTGCCCTGCAAACCACTCAGCTTGGCAGATTGCACATTTGCAGGACGGCCTGAAGACCTTAAAGAAGTCACTGTTAGGCCACAGTAGAGTTCACTGTAGTAGTATATATATATATAATTTTGTGGAGTAGTGTGTATGTATAGAGCATGTGTGCAGTTTGACTTTAGTGTGGATTATCAGGTATCCTGTTTTGTCTTCCTGAGACTGTAAAATCTGATCTCAATGTGTAGTTCCTGGAAGTAGGCTTAATTTCTAGACTAACAGCTTTTATTTAACCCACGCAGAGTTAACTGTCAATTAACATGAGTTAGTTAACACATTTTGAAATGACAGCCCAGACAATCCACAAGCATTTGGAGATAAATCATAGAAAACTTCTGCCAGAACTGATCATTTGTGGAGTGTGGAGTCTATCACTTTTAGACATATTTGCTAATTTTAATTAAATTTAATTAAATAGTGTCTAGTTAAGGTCTTGAGGAAACATAGGAAGCCCAGTGGGTTAGTTATAAGCAAATTTATGGAGTAAAGTGCTTACTTGACTTTCCAAGGTGAGGGTCACACTGGGAGAGTGCTGTTGTAACTATATATATTTTAATTCTGGCCATGCAGACTTTCAGGGATGCTGTTAGATGATGACCTATACATCTGAGAGGTAAGGTGACTCCCACAATAAATTATACAGCATTACAAAACTGACTCAGTTCAGCTTTACAAAAGTTGATTCTAAACACAATCTGAAGAATCAAGGGTAGTAAGTCTATCTGGCTCTGTTTAAAATCCCGTAGCCTAAGGTGCTCAAATGTATTTGGAAATCTCTGCTATTAATCTAAGAAAATTTCATCCAACAGACTTTGAAGCATCTGTATGCTGTAGTTTTCTCACAGGCAGTCTAGCAATGTACACAGGCTGGACAAGTGGACAGAGGCAGGGATTTAAAACCTAAATGTCTGTGCTCCAGGGAGTAATGATCAGAAGGACAAAGTCCAGTTAGAGGCAATTCTTTAGCAGTGTACTCTAGGGATTGTTATGGGTGCCAATATTCTTCATTAACTACCTGGACACTGAAACAGAGTGCACCCTCAGCAAGTTCGCAGGTGATACAAACCTGAGAGGAGTGGCCAGTACTCTAGAGGATTGTGTTACCATTCAGGGGGATCTGGACAGGCTGGAGAATTGGGCTGAGGAGAACCTCATGAAATTCAGCAGGGGAAAATGCCAAGTCCTGCACTGTCTGGGAGCCCACCAGCTGGAAAGCGGCTCTGCAGAGTAGGATCTTGGGATCTCAGGGGGCACCAAGCTGACCATGAGCCAGGAACGCATCCAAAGAAGTCCAACAGCATCCTAGGCTGCATTAGGAAGGGTGTGACCAGCTGATTCAGAGAGGTGATCTTTCCTCTTTATTCAGCACTGGGGAGGCCACATCTGGAGTGCTGTCTCCCTACTAGTAGAGGAAAGATAGGGAGTCAAACGCAGAGCTACAAATTTGAGGTCCATGAGTGACGCCTCTTGGTTATTTACTGAGCAATGCTATTGTACACCTGCCTATTAGAGAGGGTCTTTTTAAGACAAGACACCACTGACTGATGTTCCCAGATAATGGGAAGACAGCTCCCTTCCGAACAATAAACTTTTTCATAGCTAAGATCATACTTTTGCCAGTTGCTCACAAGGCTTACCTATTCACTCTTGTCTCTTCTCAGAGCTGTTGTCCTCCTGGTCTCATTTCTGGTGTGCATTAATATTGATCTCTGCCATAACTGGAGGTGGCTCATTTTGTAAATCACTTCAGGACACTACCATGTATAGCTAATATGAGCTAAATATGCAAGTCCAGTGAGATCCAGCTAAAACACAGGCCTGTTTGTTTCTAACACCTCTCTCTCACAATTCAAGCCTGTCTTCATTGTTAGCATTTGGCATTCCTACAGGGCCTACGGTAAAGATTCCGTAGCCTCCTCTTTCCATCTCAAGTAAATGTCCCTGTTGACAGCTGTAACTTACATAGAGGTAGCCAGACCCTAGTCTGTGCCCTTCTCTCTTCAAAACTCATAGCTACACTCAGTGCTCAGTATTATATTCAGGGTAATAATTCCTTTTTTGAGTTCCAACTCTTCTCTTTAAGAAGAAGCTACTGGTATTTTTGTATATCAATGTGAATTACCTCTTCTCTGACATTACAACTAAATCCTCATTAACATTTCCAGTTGCAATAGCATGTCATCAGCAAAAAACCAAACCCCAGTCCAAACCAAAAAATAACCCCTAGTCCCTTTACAGTAGGGTATTAGAGAGAATAAACAATATTTCCCATGTATGAAACATTCTTTGTGCTTTAGCAACACTTCTATTCTTATTCTAAGCTCTCAGATGTACACTTACGTTTTTTCTTCATTCTTCCACTCAAAGGTAAATCCTAAAGGAGGTCTAATCGCTGTGGGGTTTGAAGATGGTGTTGTCCGCATAATTGAAGTTTATGATCCCAAGGGACTGCCTATTCTTCCAGGACAGACCAATATAAAGAGTGCAGAGATAAATCTGAAAAAAGCTTTCAAACCTCATGCTACTGCAGTTACGGCTTTGGCATATGAGCGAAACGGACATGTGCTTGCCACAGGAGTATGTATCACTTCTTTTGGTTATTTTTATTAAGCCAGAAATGTAGAGATAAGGTGAAGTTTTTTTACTGTCAGCAGGTTTATACTACTGTTACTGCTATCGATTGCTTCTTGCAGTTCTCTGCAGTAGTGAGGGAAGAGGATTCTGTTTGTACTCGCATTTGTTTTCTGAAGGAAAGCAACTGTGCAATCCATACAATTCATTCTGTGAATTATTGAACTGTTTAGTGTGAATACTGTAATCCTCTTTGAAAACGATTTGGCTCATTTTGGAATTAGTTTAGTAGTATCTTGGAATTAATAAAAGCAAGTCCATTCATACAGACCTTGCCAGCACTCCAGTTGCTACCCAGCACCACTTGCCATTATAATACTGGCCAGTAGGTTTGTCTGTGTGGCTGCTAGCCTTTGAGATGATTTCCAGTCATCTCTTTGTAAAAACCATGATCAGTGCATTTGCAGTTACACATGCTTTGACCCGAATCACCATGCTTTTCACTTAATGCAGGATTTAAGCTGCCACGTGTCATGTTGTGCACCAGTTCTGGATTGTCTTGTTATCCAGGGATGCCAGCCTGTGCTGCCTTTTCAGAAAAATCAGGCCTGAGCCTGAGTTTTAAAGGAGCTCCTGGGCCATGGGCACAAAGCACGTGGCTGGGGATGCCAGGTGAGGCCCATCTGTGTATTTAAGGGCTTTGAGTATACTCAGGGCCATGGAGCAAAGTGGACAGAATTTTTATTTCCTCCCTGTAATCATAATGGAAATCCAGTTCTAATTTCCAAGGCGCTTATAAGTCTCTCTGTTGAACCACGAAACGTTTGAAGCATGTACTTATTGTTATAAAGTACTTACAGTCTTTTGAATTTTTGGTCTGCTTTGATTCAGTCATAATATTTTTTTTTCCTCAGAGTAAAGACAAAACTGTTTTCTTTTTTGCTGTTGAAGATGAATATGAGCCAATTGGATTCATCTGTGTCCCTGGGCCTGTGCAGGCATTACAGTGGTCTCCACCTTCCCATGTGAGTAAAGCATTTTTGTTTTTTTTCCTTACCTGCAATGTTAAAATGTCATTTTGAGAAGAACTTCCAAAGAAAATAAATGAAGATTCATGACCCTTGACATGTTTTCCATAGAAAAATGCAAAAGATATTTTCCTACTTTGTTCCTCAGTATGGCAAGCAGATTTTGTGTAGCTGCATCTCTGGTTCAGTCAATTTGGATGTATCTTTGACTATGGATAATAAAGAGCAGAAATGTATGCAAACCACAAAATTTTGTTCAGCTTTTTGAGTTCCTGCCTTGAAGAAACAAGCTTGTGCCTTAGCTGTTGCAAGATCTTAATCCTCTTTGATAAAACAGTTATTTGAGCATTATTGTCTGTACCTCTTGCCTGTATTAAAACAGGCTTTTGCAAAGCTTTTGGGCCACATTAAGAAAGCATTTGGGTGCTTCTTGGAATTCACACTCTGAAGTGTCAGAGACATATTCAAACAGATTCTTTCTAATATTTTAGAAGTTTTGTAAGGTTAGAGTAACATCTGAAATTTTGGTTGGTCCAGCCTTCTTATTTGGAAGGGAGATCACTCATTTTCTCTTGCTGGTCATATTGTCAGCATCTAAATATGTTTATACTGGTGCACAATGGCAAAGTGTAGCTATTATTGCTTGTTCATGGGAACTGATAAAAACTGTGTTGGCAAAAGAACTCTTGCTACTATGAACTCTATCTTACTACAGAAATGACAGATCTTGATCTGGCAGTTGCATTTTGAGTCCTTTTCTTGAGGACAAGGTATTCCTTCTTACTAGAAACTGTCATATCTTTGATATGTTAGGTTCCCTCTGAGTAATTTTGTCTGCTGGTATCAGATCTCCACTGCTAGATATGAACACTTACTAAACATAGTACAAGCATCTGAGCATTACGCTATTTTTTTCTTTCTCTTTAAAAAAACCCCACCTTGGTGATTAAGTACTATACATTTAATGAATGGATTTGTAAGGCTGGATTTTATAGTCGTAAGTACCATATAATTTCTAGTTAAGTTTTCCATAAAAACTCTGTTATGCACCCTTTGCACATTGTTAGTGATGGGGCAGGTAAAATAAGCTTCTCTTTATTCTCCATATTACTAAATACAGATTTGCCTTTAAAAATCTCAAAACACTGCATGATTGTTACCCTTACCTCACCTATTCTTCCTAACTTTGCATTTTAAAGGACCTGGCAAGTACCAGCAAAGAACAAACTCAAAGCTAAATAGCATTTGCAAGATTCCAAGCCCAGCCTTGGATATAAAGATATAAAGGATTTAGAAATTTATGAATTTAAACGAATCATCAAAACAAAATGTCAGCTCCTAACTTTTGGGTCAGATCCATTCTTTGATTTAACTAAACCCCCAAAATATCATCATGCTGCTTCCAAGCTAGACAGTGTCAGAATGATAGCTGTTTTGCATATGGCAAGGACTTTATACTGAATATAAGGAAGAAATTTTTTACAATGAGGGTGATGAAACCCTGGAACAGGTTGCCCAGAGAAGTGTTGGAGGCCCCATCTCTGAAGGCATCCCAGGTCAGATTGGATGGGGCTCTGAGCAACCTGACCTGGTTAAAGATGTCCCTGCTCACTGCAGGGAGTTGGACTTGATGACCTGTAAGGGTCCCTTTCAACCCAATGTCCTCTATCGTTCTATGATTCTTCAATTTCTTAGCTTTGCCTAGGATAAAAAGAAGTATAAAAGAAGCTCACTGGTTTCTCATGAATGTTTAAAAGCACTCATTTAAATAGAGAACAGTTAGAACTAATTCCTCCTGCTTGAAGCTTGGCTTTGTGCCTATTCATCTTCTGACTATATTTTTCCTATTTCTTTCAATTCCATGTATACATCTGCCCCACAGTTGTATCTTCTGTGTTTTTGTACAGGCAAAGAGCACACTGCTCATCCTTTGCGAGAATGGCTTTGTTCTCCAGGTTCCTGCCCCTGTCCCTGAGGAACGGGATACAGCGTCCACCTATCAAATAAAAAACCTGTCAACACAGTACTTCCATTTTTACAGTATTAAGTCTCGAATCAAGGTAAAGAAATATCCTGTGGAGGAATTTCATGTTCTTATCTGCCAGAGGACAAAACTACCCAAAAAAAAGCTTCCTAGTGCCTATATTGCGTGAAAGGATTTTTGCGTAGCTTCTTAAAGGCCAGTCTAAGAGTTGTTTGTTTATTCAAATAGAACATACATCACACTGTAAGCATGGTGTACATTTTGATTAGAATTAAATGATAACATTAGTGAAAGGGAAAGGTAGTATAGCACACTAGTTCTTAAAATACTTTCATTCTGCTAATTTTCAGAAAAAGTGTGTTTCTTGTGGTTGATATTAGTCCTGTAGGGAATCCCTTTGAACAGTCATAAAACACCTGTGTGGTCATTTTGAATCAAACATGAAACCTTTTTTTTTTTCTTTTCCCCAGCAATTACATGTTTCTGATTTTTTTAAAAAATGTAATAACTTGAAAGGTGTGGGGTTTATTTCTGAAGGAAAACTAGCATTCTACAAAATATGCAGGGACAAATGAAAAGAGTTATGCCAGTTCTCAGCTATAGTTAGTTTTCTGAAATTAAAAGGCAAGCTGATGCTAGGCTGAGGAGCAGAGCTCCAGTGAGCAGGCTCTAAATCCCATATTCAATCCACAACAATCCAACAGCCTCTCTGATTCTATTCTTAACCTGTATTTCACTGCTCTTTCTATTAACCACTCCTGTTTTCTGAGTGGAGCATTACTGAATGTCAGTCAAAGCCTCATTTCTTGTTAAAACTAGGAGGAAGTCAGCATTCAAGAGAAAGATTTCTTGGTGGTTTTCTCACAGAAAGAACCACAAGAATGATCACAAAGTTAGCATACACATGTAAGGAAAGATTGAAAGAATGTGTATGGTGTTTTGTTGTTAGTGGGGTTTTTTTGGCTTTTTTGATTAGTCAGAATAATAACATTGGGAGAGAGATATGATTTAGATAGGATGTAAGGAAGGAGATCTGACAGTAAGGGTGGTGAAGCTCTGGAATAGTTTGCATAGACTGGAGATTCCCCACTGCAGGCTTTTAAAGGGTAGGTCAGACAAACCTCAGCCAATAATATTTAAGGTTTAGCTGATTCTGCTTATGGGCAGAAGAATGGTCTTTTGAGATCCATTCCGGACCTTTCTCTTTGATTTGCTATCTCATACCTTCTTAGGAAGATCCTGTTTTAGAGAATGTTTGATATTTGTTTATGCTAAAATAGACTTTTATGGAAAGGGGGGTTTTATGTTTCTATAAATCTGCAAACGCCTTGTCTTCATTGTTCAGAAGTAGTAAAGTCCATTACAGCTTCTCTGTTTTACTCTACATCAATGATACACTGGAACTCGGGAATTTGAGTTCAGCTTTGCAGTGCTTTTCTTTCTGCTGGTCAGGCAGAGGACGAGGTTTCGGAGTTTTGCAGAAGTAGTGTGCTAATAGTGGTTAATATTGGGAATAATCTCTCTGAGGAAATGCTGGTCTGCTTCTCATGCAGAACGGTTTCAAATGGTTCAAAAGACTATGAGATAAACTACTTTTAGAGGAGGGGAATGGAGGCATTCCACTGGAGTCCCATGTTGTCTGGTTGATCTCTGCTTTGTTGACAGAAAAGGGATTTCTCTATATGTTCTTTATACATAATGCTAGGACCACCTCGGGTTTCATTTATGAGACTCCATCACGTCTGTATATTTCTCTGCTTGTTGTAATAGCTGGAAGAGGAGATTGCACTGAGAGAGAAAAAAAAGCAAGAGAAAGAGAAAGAAAAACTTGAATGGGTAAGGCAGCAGCTGGAGATGGGAAATGAGATAAAAGAAGAAAAACCTGAAAAGGAGCCTGAAGAAGAGCCATTGCCACCTCTCTACATACCGAAGGAGCCCAGTCCCATTCTCTGTGGGTTTTATTCAGCACCAGGAAAATTTTGGCTTTCCTTGGTAAATCAATTTGTATTTCGTGTTGTTGGGATTGCAAGATGTGACAACCTTCCATTTCCATCTCAATGCCTTAGCAAACTGATTATTTGAAACCTGCCATCTCCAGGACATGGAATTCCCTTCATAACTGGTTTCAGTGGTCTTTCTGAAGTAAACCAGCAGCGTGACTCCAACTCAGATTGTTCAGTAAATTTCCAATAGGTGCGCTTGTTGTCATGCCTGAATGGGCACAAAGCCTAAGCTGTTCCCACACAAGCAGAAGATAGAATCTTACCATCTTGGCAGGATGGCTTGTAATGCCAGTGATCATGATGATTTTTTCTCCATGGGTAAATAGCATCTCTAGATGTTTGGCAGTAACATTTTCTAACCTATCATAGAACCTTAAGAAAGGAAGAATTATTCTGAAAATTCCTTTTGCCTGGTCAGCTGCTTCAGTCTTCTTTTGTCACCATTTCTTTTTGATCTTTCTTGTCTTCAGGGTGGTTATGACTCAGGGTTCCTCTATCACTGTGAATTCTCACATGATCAGGAAGAAGATCCCCAAAACAGGAAGGATGAACCCTTTGAAGTGATCCCTATTGAGGACACTGATGACAATCCCATCCAGCAAATCTCCTTCTGGTAAAACTCTGTAGTGTAACAGATAGCTTTGTGATAAACCTTAATGAAATTGAACCTGAAAAGGAGGAAGGTACACTGCTTTGTCCCTTTATAAATTGTGGCTCAACTCTGGTATGCAAGAACTCTCTCTGATTATTCTGGCACTGAATTTCACTTAAAATTCCTGATGGACACAGTTGGGCACTAGGTCTGACAGAGTAACCTAAAAAGCCCTTCAAAGATGATAACATCTGATTTTCAGTTAAGTACTGATTAGGACTTAAACATCCTAGATGGTACTCTCCAGGACAACCATTAGAATTGTCTACAAATTGTGATCACCACAAACACAGTTCTTTTTTGTAGTTAACAAAGAGAGGACACAGCCCCTGAGGAGAACACAGAGGAATCGGTCTATCCCTCTTGTGCAAAGAATACAGTGAACTGTATGGGTGGAAGGGGTGATCTATTTTCAGACTTCCAGTATTAGATTCCCTGTAAGGCTAGGCATGCTCTGTATTTAAGGAGGTGAGTTTAGTTCAGACTTTAATCTACAGTTGGCTGCATTTGCCACCATCCATACTAGTAGGAGAGCAGGAAGAGAAAACTGCTTTTCTAGCTCCGAACTTTGTGTCTGCTGCTGTCGTGGTTCAAGCTGACTGGGCAAAAAACCACGCAGTCTCCAGCTCACTCCTTGCCTCACCTCCATTTCCACAGGGATGTGGAGGGATACGATTCAACTAAAAAGGCTCAAGGGTTTGAGATTAAGGAGGGGGAGGGTAATAATCTACCATTTAAGATAATGGGTAAAGTACCAGAGCAACTTGGGGAGAAAAACATTGATTTAATTCACCACCACTATTTATGAAGTAGGATAGTGAGAGGAATACACCAATAAATACAATCTGATCTTAAATACACTTTGCCCTTACTTCAAATACCCTTGCCCCCCCCCCCCCCCCTCCGATCTTCCTGGTTACCTCCTCTGCCTTCATCAGAGCGAGGGGGTCAGGGAGTGGGGGGGTGCAGTCCATCTGGCCATTCCTCCTTGAGAAGAGGGCTCCTCACAGTCTCTCCTTCATACCGTGTGGTGTCCACCTCACAGGAGGCAATCCTCTTCCTCCTCGTGAGTCCATCGGGGCCATGAATCTCTCTGGGCGCGTCCCCCGCTGATGCTCATTCTCTCTCCCCTCATGCATGTGGCTCTGCATGTACCACTGCATCCTGGACATTTTTGCCACTTCCCTCAGCTGGCAAGCAGTCACCTTCCTGCCATCTCAACCACCACAGGTTCCAGGGAGAGGTTCTGCTCTGGCAGCCTTCTCTTTTTCTCCTCTGGGACTCTTCTCCCACTCTTTCTTTTCAGGAGGATGTTTTGTTGTTCTTCTCTCACCTCCCCCTCTTCCAACAGAAAATCTCCCCAACATTGAAGACAGGACAGCTCAAAACTAGATGAAACCAAAAGAGAGGTAGAACAATGGGGTTTCCTCTTAAATACTAGCTGAGGTGCTGACTGACCTGGCCCTGACCAGAGGCAGGTCCAACTCCTACCTGCGGGTGGGGGAGGATCTCAAAGTTTTGCATTAGTCTGCCTCCACTTTTTACAAAAAAACCACAACCCACTAGACTCCAACACAGGACAGCTACCCTGCCCAACTCAGGGCTGAAACCAGTTCCATGATGCCCAGCAAGCCCTGGACTATTCTTGAGCAGCCTGTTAGCTGGAAATAATTTTGTAGAAGTACCACACATACTTTAAATAGTCCAAATACTTTGGTCTCATCTTACAAACTGGGGAAAGCTACATTTATTAAGCTAGATTAGCTCTTTTCAAGTATCATGTTGTGGGCTGTGGCCTTGCTTGTTACAGGTTGCCTGCTATTACAGTTTCTTGTTGCCTATTTGACAGTGCCAGCAGACAACTGATGTTCTGTGGGATGCAGAATGGTGCACTGCGAGTTTATCCTCTCTGCGATAAAGACGTCTCAGTGGATACCCTGAAGGAATACTGGTCCTTCAATGTACATGACAATGATTATGGCCAGATCCGGGGAATCTGTTCCAGTTATGATGATAGGTTTCTGATTAGCTGTGGTGGAGATGGAAACATTTTTGCTTTCAACATCTTGTCTCCAGTGGATGTTCACAAAGAGCTAAAAGCCAAAATCCCCTCTCCTAGGGTAAGTTGCTATCCTCTTTCACTGAATTAGGCTTATGAAGCTACTGCAGGTGGACAAATGCAGTTTGATTATTTGGCATCATAGATCTTTCACAGTGAAAGTTGAGGTTTCCCAAACAATTTGGAAAAATAGCTCTTTGAGTTTCACTCCAAATAAACATAGTGTGTGTTGTTCATATGTAATATTCTGCTAGTCTTTTCCCACTCAAAGGTGTAATTATGCACATTCCTAGAATGAAAGCACTTAATACATGTCTTGGGTTTAATTCCAGTAAAGTATGATTTGGCTCTGGATGGTGATTCTAGAAATTATGCTGGAGAATATAAAATGTGTAGTTTTTTAGTGCATCTAGTACCATTCGTATACAATTCACAAGTTGGATTTCTTCAATTTGCAAAATAGCACAATACTATGCTTGTCCCATTACTCTTCCACTCTTGGACAGCATTAGCAGCAGTGATTTTACAGATGTTCTGTAATCACTGTAGAGATCATCATGTCTGAACAGGTGACACTGGAACTCAGTTCTACTAATAATGTGCAAGACAAGGGAGACAGAGAGGAAATTGTGATTTTGGTCATTTAGTTAAATTGTTTGTGACTAGCTGAAATTCTTTACCAGTATCACAAGAATATATAGCACTGAGAATAGACCTAAAATTATTTTCTTAAACTAAGTGAATGATTAGAACATGTGATATCAGAGCCTTACTAGCTCCAGTATTATAAGTAGTGATTGCTATGCAACTCTAAAGCATGTATACAGTTTTATTATTTTGAGTTTGTACGTAGCTCTATATAAAGATCTTTATGGCCAATTTCTATTGTTCAGGCTAGCAACATTGCTTAATGACCATCCTAATAGAGTTTTTTTCCCTTATCAAAGTATATCTCATTAAGTATCTATTCCAGTTTTAAGTCATATGGAAGATTTTAAAAATTCCATCTTCATTAAATTTAATAAGATTCTTAGAGAATCAAATACAAATCCTCTGAAACTAATTGAGTTAAATTATAGATCAATTTAGTATGACCATATTACTCTAGGGTGATAGCACCCCCCTCTTTTTTTCGAGCATGATTGCCTAGGGAAATGAGACTTGTGTGACTGCAGTGTCCATCCATCTGTCGTTCTTCACAGCTAATAATTGGGAGCCCATTATGCAATCGTCAGAAGCAAACTGGATTAATTACACATGTAACTTGGAATTAGCCCAGGAAATGTTGTCTCTTGTCAACGGGGCAGTGAGAGGAGACAGAACTGGGTTTGGGGGTAGACAACCAAAGATGTTAGAGGATAAAGTGAAGTTAGTTACTGTTGATGGGGAGGTTATAGGATTCATATTCCCTGTCCCTAAGAACTATGTTTCATTAGTTCTTTTACATGGAAGCCAACTTAATTGCTTTTTCTTCTTGAAACATTAAAACCTGATATTTAAGGCCTGTATAGCAATATTGATCATGAGGGTTTCTTTTGGTTTTGTGAGAGGCAATGGGACTCTGTCTTAATGTTTGCAAAAGCTTTATTGTCTGTTGAAACTATTATTGCTCTTTTAAAGGCAAGACAACATTTTTATTCTAGAGTGGTCCTGAGAAGGAGAAGGCTGTTGAAGACATTGAGGATCCCAATGCCTACCAGTAAGAGATACTTCGATAATTATGAAAGAGACTTTCATGTGTTGGTAGCTCTTCTTACCTCCTAAGAGGAGGGAGAGGTTGATTAGCTTGAATCTGGGTCATTTCCACCAGGTTTTATCAGCCTTTCCCTCCATTTCATTTACTTTTCTGTGGCAGTAATTAAAATATGGTACTCTGAGACTTACTTCAGAATACAGAGACAACACAAGGTCAAGGTCAAAGCCCCACGAGGTTAGGACTGAACAAATATACAGGAAGATGATTCCTTTCTAAGTTACCTTAAGAGCCATTGAGTTCATTGGGAGTTTAAGGCTGTCAAGGAGAATCTAAAAGGTTATGTAAAGTAATCTTTCCTCTATTCCACTGAGATAACATCATTTCCTTTTTCATGCATTGCAGCATTGAGGAAGTCAAGCAGATGAAAGAGAATGAACGGATAATGAAGGAAGCTGAAGAAAAAAAAAGGAAGAAAAGAGAAGAATTAGTTGCACTGAGGCATAAGTTTCTTCTTCTTCTTCAAAAGAATCAAGAGTTGCCCAAGCATATGCAGCTGCGCAGAGAGGTTCATCTAGTTTTTACAAGGGTCGTTTACCTTTAAAGGCACCTTCTTCTAAAATGTTTCTACCTACTGTGTTGGTGCAAAATATGTCCAACTCTTTGGATTAAGGTTGTTCTATGAATATATAATTTGCTGAGACTTCTGTATCAGAGCTGATGGTTTGTGCCATTTAAGAACCATGTGGGAAAAATGTGGTTCTCTGGAGATCTGAATAGCTCCTGAAATAAAGGATTGTGTTGATATGCATGGAACTCCAGCACCTGGACAAAAATATTTATTACCAAAGCCTAGTAGCCATATTAACGTGATGCTGGGTTTTCTGTCTTTCCGCAGCAGTTTGAGATGGACCACGGGATCTTTGAGGAGCTGTCTAGGCAGACGGCACAGAGAATCCAGTTAGTGCAGAAGGAGCTGGCTTGGGAGCGTGAGAAACGCTTGATTGGACTTCAGAAACTGCGAAATCAGTACGTACCTCTTTTCTTCTAATTCTCCCTCCGATCTTGCATGGGGCTTATAATTTGTGAAATTGTACATGCCACAGTGAAAAGAATGTTATTTTTTGTCCCCCTCATAAAAACATTATTTCATCTGTTTTGTTGTGATTTTGTTCTTATTTTACTTGCAATGTATACAAGAGTATATACTGACATTCGTGTGTACTTATTCTTTTGAATCTTTGGTGAAAATTCAGATATTCAAATCAAAGAATTAGCTTCATGCTTATTCACTTCTGTGTGAAGAAAACTGTGGAGTTTTTCTGAGGCTTAAGTTTGCCTGGGTTTTTACTAGTAAGTTCAGTAAGAACCAAAAACTCTCATTGTAACTTTGAAGAACAACCTGTGAAATTTAACCTGTGTTTCAGTCGTGTTGTGTGCCTGTCAGGTATTTTAGTGTCACTGCTAACACAGTGTTTCCTATGCAATTTAAAGTTATGAAATAAACTTTCTCAGGAACACAAGTTTAAATGTGAGGTGCATTTTAGGTTGATTTTCTTAAATCTGGGTATATAGCAAAAAGATTAATTCCTGAAAATAAATAGAGATAATACACAATAATGAGAACACTTTAGGCACACAGAGTGTATGACTGGAAAAAAGACTTGAGTTAACATATTTTTAATCAGTCCTTAATGGAAGATGAAAGATATTTTCATTAAGAACCCAGTGTAAGTTTCAATACTGGGAGAGGACTTTATATGTTTATTCTTGAGCATCTTCATTCTTAGATTGGATAAAAGTCAATAGATAGTGTCAGATATCGTCGTGCTGTTACTTATGGGCTTGTGAATTTGCATGTAATGATTGTATGTGCAGTAGGTAAACTATGTTATTTGTGGCCTTTTGGTCAAGGCAAAATGGTAGGTTGTGCCTACTGACAACATACGGGTTTTCTATGTTATTTGTGGCCTTTTGGTCAAGGCAGAATGGTAGGTTGTGCCTACTGACATCATACGGGTTCTGTCTAATTCGGCTTTTCAGGTTTCGGGACTCACTGGAATTTGACACTGTTGTTGTTCATGCTATTCAAAGCAATCATCAGATTTCTACTTATAGACTTCTAGCAATGTCTAAGAAATACTACCAGGATGAACCAGCATGGGAACAACCAGAAGAAAAGGAGATCATCACAGAGACAACACCTATGCATAAGGCGAACGATGACCATTTAAATTTTAACGGTAATGTGGTGTCTGTCTTTCACCTCAGTTTCTTTTTCTGAATCAAAGCTAAGGAAATTATAAATTCTTTTTTAAAGAAACATGACTGTGATGTGTTTTTTGGGTACCTACATGCATTGTAACACACATGTGTAGTTTTAGGTCAATGTCAGCAATTTTTTATCAACCTCGTGGGTAGAATGCGACTACGAGTTAAGTCAAAGAACCCAGATACATTCAGAACATCCACTACACTGGAACTCTACTGATTGACACCGTCTCTACAGGAGCCATCCCATGGGGTTTCCAGTAGTTGGGACTGCAGTGTGCTGCATGGGATTTACATTTTCATATGGTTGTTTTTTGGTCCAGGTGCTAGAATTTTCGAGGGCGAGGCTGAAAAGCTGAAGACATCAGAGGTCCGAAAGCAAGCTGCACATTATATAGAAAGTAAACATGAGAAAATCAGAAGAATCGTTGAGAAATCTGACGAGGTGGAAGCTAAGATCATGAAAAGGAAGGCTGAGTGGGATGAATTGTGAGTCATGAACTGGACTCTGTGCTCTTTCAGTTCTGCTTCCCCTTTGAGGTCAAGTGATGCTATTTAACTGTCATGTGGCACTATAATCTCTTTGTCTGTTTTTTTATGCATTTCTAATGATTATAATTAAAATAGATGAGTATTCATGTATCTCTGAGTCTCAAGAGAGCATTCAAAATCTTTCAGTTAGTTTCTATGGTTTTTCAAAAATATTATAAAAGACTTGAATGCCGCTAGGTAGCTGCATCTTCAGATAAGGAGTAAAAAGGTGTCTAAATCGACTATGACTGAGAAACACCTGAACTATTAGTCAACTCTGTTAACCCCGTCAGTACCACAGAGAGCAGAGGCTGCACACGCTAACTCACGGCTGTTATGTGAGAGTTTGTGACATGCCTTCATGCTCCACACTGGTCTTTATCTTGTGAGTCAAGAAGGGGCAATGAGACATCTTTGAATGCTCACGGAAGTACAAAAGTTCTTCATCAAAAGATGAATGAAAGGGGATAGGACCAATGTAGAGTCAGAACACAGTATAGTGTTTAACGGTATAGGGTAGCTTCTGGTACTCTGTGCTACAGGCTGACAGAGTGTAGAAACAAGCGTCCCTGAGATGGAAAGCAGCATGTACTCACTAAACCCAGAACTCAGTCCAGATGTAAGGGTTTAACCTGTCTCATGGCAGAGCTATGTTATAAGAGTTCCTGAGGGGAAAAAAAATTAATCTGATGTTTTCATTCAAATGTGCAAAGGCATTCTTCCCAAAGAAGCCATTCTTTTCTGAAAGAGGTGTGAGATTCTTGATCCCTAGCTCACTTCCCAAGCCTTGCTACCCAAATCAGAAGATGTGAAATGACCCTCTTTGTTCATCTCTGTCCTTATTGTCTTTTAAGATCAGCTTTGTTTTGTACTTACCAGATACAAGAGCAAACCTAGTGATGACTATGAGAATCCCAAAGATATTGAGGACATCAAAAAAGCATGGGAAACTATGGGATATTATGAGCTGAAGGCTTCCCCAAGCTATAGAGTCCCTGAACACAAGCGTATGAACATTGAGAAGAAGGTGATGCAGCTTAGATCCCTGGAAGTGTTGGTATGTAAACTGATTTACTGATGTGTATTTTTACCCATTTTGGGGGGAATGAGGGTAGTATATTAGTCACTGAAGACATTTTTTTGAAAGGAAATCAAAACAAATACGGGAAAAGGCCTTGAAGAAGAGACTGCATTGAGTCAGCTTTAGTTACAAAGCAGCCCTTCTCTTGTGAATCGTTACCACTTCATAGAATCACTGAATCATAGAATGGCCTAGGCTGGAAGGGACCTTAGAGATCATCTAGTCCAACCTCCCTGTTTTGGGCAGCGACGCCACCTCTCGACTACACCTGGCAACACATGGGGACCGAGCTCGAACTTGAATCAATCCAGGAGAACTCTTTTTAAACAAGAAATAAGGTTTGCCTTTTCTAGTACTTCAGAGGAACATCTGTTTTTCTGAATTCTTCAAAAACTCTAGTAACTGGTATACTTTCCTTAAAACACTGTGCTAAATAACTCCTGCCATGAAATACCTTTACAAAAACAGGGATGTGAGCAAGCACATGTGTTTCTAGTGTGGACTCTGTATTTGCACTTTGGCAATCACTTCTTCTGGGTACTAAGCTTTGGGATCTTCCTGATAAACCAGGTCTTTTTGGAGCCACCTTTCTGTAATAGGACTCCTACAGCTACCACACATCTTGTAACCACAAAGACACAAGAAGCTCAAAAGTTGCGCGGTATCTTTGTTGCTCTCTTTGTACCTTCTATCACCCCATCCTTCTTCTCCCAGGAATGTTTTTCATTTGATTTGGCTGGAGTGTGAAAGAATGACAAATTTCTTTAGCTAAAAGAACAGTGAAGAAATACATCTCTTGTACTTGGAAGTGTCTAGTTGCTTTTTGGTAGGAAGGCTTATTTCTCACCCTGTATATTGACAGAGGAGCCTCTTTCCTGCTTGGTTTATCTTTGTCTGGTGAAGTGCAAGTTATACACTCAGTGGCCCTGAATCTTCGCCAGTCTTATCCTCATAAACCCGTTGCCTAATGGGAGGCACCGTCTAGGCTAGGTCACTTTGATAGCGAGGTCTAAGCAGTACCAAAGCAATGCTACACTCTCAAGGGATTTGTTGGATCATTTTAATCTTATGCTTCAGCTCCAGTACTTCATTGTAGTGCTGGTGCTACTAAATACCCAGTGATTAATCTAACTCAAGAGGACAAGCCAATGCAAATGGTGAATAGTTCTTGTTGTAAATTCCAGGTTTATGTGGATGAAATATTCCAGTTACTTCAGGTGGCTGATGTACAGAGTTATTTTCCTTTATAAGGATCAGAAACTTTTCTGCCAAGTATATTAATCTTAGATCATAGAATCACAGAATGTCAGGGGTTGGAAGGGACCTCTAGAGATCATCTAGTCCAGCCCCCCTGCCAGAACAGGATCGCCTAGGGCAGCCACACAGGTACGCATCCAAGCAGGTTTTGAAAGTCACATTCATTTATTATTTCATCTGAAAAGAGTAAATTAATACAGCATCTCCTTATCACAGAATCACAGAATGATTGAAGTTGGAAGACACTTCTGATGGCAATCTAGTCCAAACCTTCTATTCAGCCAGGGCCATCTAGAGCAGGTTGCCTGGACTATGCTGAAATGGCTTTTCGATATTCAAGGATGGATAACTTAATTCCCATCCTGACATCTGATATAAGTGTCACTTCTCAAATTAATAGCTCTTCATCTTGAGTTAGAGTTAAAATATTCAGCTGATGCCAGAGGTTTCTGAGTTGACTTTGGGACTCTGGATTGCTGCAAGGCCTGGAAAGAATTTGTTTTGGCCATCTAGTGGCTTGTATGAAATCCAAAAGCATCTGACAGAATGTTACTTTCTTGCTTTTAATATTGCTATCTATTATACTTCGAAAAGTCAGAACTTTGTTCCTCTTCTAACCACCTGCAGTAGCTGTGATTTCAGCTTCGCCACCACATATAAAAGGTAAGAATTTCATCTGCCTTCCAGAACCTACATTTACAGAGGACTGCTTTAGTATCTTTGAAGTTTTGTGAGTTAAGAGCTTTGTTTCAATGACAAAGCGATTTCTGTAGAGCTGTGCATTTCATAGTGTGTACAGTAAAGGTCCTCTCAGGTGTATTTCTTTTGTCTTGGGCATGGAAGCTTGCTTTACAAAATACTAAAAAAAAATAATCTGATTTTCTTTTTGTTAGTGTAGTATTTGTACTGTATGCCTGAAAAGAGGGCCATGTACCAAAGCTGAGCTACTCTGTATTTAATGAGAGAAAGCCGAGGTGACTAATTCTCTACAATCCACAGCTTATTTTCACAGCCTCTATCTGCTTTCTGCACTACTTCAGTATCTCATGTCAAGAAACTTACAATCAAGTGAGGAACTGAGAGAATAAGGAAACCTCATTTCCATTCTTACACCTTTGATGTTTTCTGTGAAGCAGAGCAAGACAGGTGGTTCCAAAGATTTTAAAACCACAGACTGAAAGACAGCTGTTAAAAAAATTCTAATGTGTGGAGATGATACAGAAAAGAAAGTATGGCAAGAAGGAAAATCAGTATGACAAGCCTCTTGACTCATACTTGTGCTGGGGAAGACTACGTACATGTAACTGTCCTTGGGGAACCCTACTAAAATGATTTTTCCTTTACAGATCCATGAGAGGAAACTGAGTATGAACAAAGCGATCATGTCTTTGCGGGATCTCAAGGTTTCTATTATTGATGAAATCAAGCGTTTAGTTCAAGAATTGAAATCCATACAGGCAGCCTTGGATTTATCAGAATGCCTCCCTCTTCCCCTGATCCCTCAGTTATACCCAGATGAGATTCCTGAAAAAAAATTTGAGTGTGACAGTGACACCCTCCTGAAGTTCAAGGAGGAGCAGGAGGCCAAGACAAAAGTCCAGGAACAATTGAAAGAGTCTCCTTCATCTCATGAATCTAGGCATGAGCTTCTTCGAGCTCCTTCCATTGAAGAGACTGACCCTGTGGCACAGGCTACAGGTATACACCCGATGAAATCAGCGGTCACAGAGCAGCAAAAGGTGCTTGAGATTGAGAAGGCAGAGCCAACGGAAATGGAACTGGAAATTTTAAAGAGGGAGAAGATAAAAAATCTATACTTTCAGGAGACCTTGATTAAAAAGGTAGGAAATAAAAACAGGGTTTTTTTGTCAGATTGAACATCTCACTGCATCAGAAATAAAACCAAAGCCTTTACTATCTCAGGATTGCAGCTACTCTTGCCTTTCTGAAGTTCAGGAAAATGCTATCTGATGCAAATTTACCAGTTAAATCAGTATAAATCCCTAACTATGACCTGTGTGCTTACTATTACCACTTGACGAACAGATTTTAGATTTCTTACTGTTTGTTCTATGAAACTATGAACATAGTGGCCAAAAAAAGACAAGTCAAATGTTAGAAATTACTTGAAAAGTGACAAAGAGGGGAAAAAAAGAGCATCACTACAACTTTGTAGATTCATGATGTTCTTGGCTCTCAACCCTTTGGTCTCAAAAATTATTTTGTTTAATTAGAAAAGGAACAAAAGAAAGTAAGCAAAATGCTTAGTAATGGAAAATCTTCTTTAAAAGCCCAATCTAAATGCATAAACCATCTTTGGCCTGGAAGAGAGAAGGCTCTGGGGAGACCTTAGAGCAGCCTTCCAGTATTTGAAGGAGGCCTACAGGAAAGAAGGGGAGGGACTCTTTATCAGGGATTGTAGTGAAAGGGTGAAGGGTAACAGCTTCAAACTGAAAGAGGGTAGATTTATATTAGATATTAGGAAGCAATTTGTTACTGTGAGGGTGGTGAGACACAGGAACAGGTTGCCCAGAGAATTTGTAGATCCCAGCTCTCTGGAAGTGTTCAAGACCGGGTTGGATGGTGCTTTGAGTAACCTGGTCTAATGGGAAGTATTCCTGCCCATGGCAGAGGGGTTGGAATGAGGAGATCTTTAAGGTCCCTTACAACCCAAATTGTTCTATGATTCTATGATATACTCCAGATCAATGCACTGGTGATCAACTTTGATGCTGAACTTCGCCTTCTGCGACACAAGAAACTGAAGCTGGATGTGCAGATGAAAATTGCTGACCTGCGCTACATCACGTGGTATGAAGAGCTGCTTATCCTGAAGAACATGGAGAAACATGAGAACCTTCTCAAGGAACGTGTTAACACCCTCATCAGTGACCAAAAGACCACACAAGTAAGTAGGCCACATGGCTCTGTGTTTAACAGTACCACTAATGTGTGGCTTGAAACAAAAGCAAGCCACAGAGTAAATGGTGGCATCTTTTTATTTCATTTTAGCACTGATCCATCATCTAGTGCTGAAGTTTGAAGAACAAGAAACTCTTGATATTCAACACTTTTAACTTCTGGGAGTTAATCTTTTCATAATTCTATGATGTGGAATAAGTGACAAATCATGTACTTAAGAACATACTTCTAGATTTTGCTTGGTTGAAGCATAGGTTTAAAGAGAGAAAGACCAAGTTTTGCATTTCCAGATCTTCACAGATGCATCCTGTATACATGCTTGAGTTGTACCTTTGAACTGAAGTAGCTATTTTGTTTGTTTAGTCAAAACTGAACAGCTACCTTGCACAGATGGAGGATAGAAAGTGTGAGATTGTGAAGCTTCAGGAATGTGAGAAGGCTCTTTATGCCAACTTCCAAGCATCGCTTGGAGAAAACAATGAGTTTGCTGATTTTCTGACCAAGGTTCTGAAGAAGAAAATCAAGTGCATGGAAAAAGAAGAAGAAGGAAGAGAAGCAGGTTGGAGATACTGTTCTTTTTGCTTTGTGGTTTTGTTACACATAGTTCTGTGCAGTCAAGTAAGTGTCTCTCAGGCTAGCTGGAGCCCTGGGTACGTAAAGTGCTGAACTCGGTTCGAAAAAACCATGGATCAGAGGTACCCATATTTGTTTATATACTGACCCGAGTTTTGTGTCAGCCATCTTGAGTGCTAACAATGATATAATTCAATCTCTAGCAGGACTACATTTGGTCTGATGACAGCTCCTGCAGTTTACTTCCTGAAAGTCAGTGTGGAGGATTGATCATTGGTACGAAGAAGAGGCAAAGCTTTAAATAGATACTTCCTACATAGTAGGGAATGGGAGCTATGGATAAGTAATTAGTCTGCCCATTCATGACATTCTCCTTTAATCTGTCCATTGACTAATGAGACATCGTATACCTAATCTGCAATCTTCTGTTAGTCACGAGGCTAAACATATTATGAAAGGATTTAATTTATCTTAGTGACTTGGTTTTAAACTGTTAAGAGTTTCAAGTGGGATGCGATTAGCAAAAAGTGCAGACAACAATGGCGGTTTTGTGACAGTTTTGTGCCTCTATATTTTGCTTGGTTGAATAATCTCTGTAGTAGAATGGTAAACCCACAGGGTTTATTATTCCTAGCACACATAATGAGAGGAAACATTACTGAAGCAAGTCCCAAAATGTGCCTGTGCCTTTGGCACTACTACGTGATTTCTCTCCCTCTTTCTTTCTTTCTTCCTGTGAAATTATCAGATAAATGCAATAGGCACACGGTACCTGGATTCACATATTACCAGGGTGATCTTTCACGGATCATTGGGATTGTGTTCACCAGCACATTGGCAATAATACACAGCTGGTAAGTCTGGGGGTGTTCTGCAAGCCAGCAGTATTGTCCTTTTCTTCCAGATGAAGAAGAGGAGCATGAAGAGAAGCATGAAGAGGAGTCCAGCTTGAAGACTGATAAAGAAAATTCTGAATCTGAAGACTATGATGACTCCGTTTGCCCAGAGAGTACCTAAACCATCATTTCCTTGTGTTGGCTACTTGTTTTTAGGGGGAAATTTTGCGTGTTTAAAAAGAAAACACAGAATTTTTTGCTATTCACTGCATATTAATGGCAATAATGGCCAGAATGTGTGTACCCCTCCCAAGTGCAGCTTTTCTTCCCAGGAAGTCTCCGTAATGATAACAAAGCTGCTCGTATTAAAGGATTCTCTAATTAAAAAAAAAAAAAAAGGAAAAATAACCCTTAGTTAAGCTCTAAGAATTAATCATTCTCTGTAAAGAACCATTCACCATTTTGCGGCTGTTTTCTTGAGAAAAAAAGCTCTTCTCAGGAGTGGAGCTGGAGCGAGACTGTAGCTGCTCCCTGGCCTTGCTGGTTCCCTGTTCAGGGAAGCTCTGCGGGGAACCCGCCCATGCTGCTAAATTAAGCTCTTTGTTTCCACCTCGTGGATTTACGCAGCAATTGCCCGTTGCTGGGCTGCTTTCTTAAGGGGAACTGTCGAGTTATTACCTTTACTTTGCATTCATTCATTCATTCATTCAACAAAGACAAGCAACTTCCCCTCCCCCTCCTTCTTTCTTTTGTACGGGTTTAAATAGTTCAGGGTATTGTTTTTGAAAAAAACCCATCTGAGTGATATGTGAACGACCATGTAGAAACACTGCTTTATTTTCAGTTAGAAATTACCAACAAATTACCTTTTTTGTATTTTTTTCTAATTGGATTTTAATATCATTTCCACAAATTGAATTTTTGATTAACTCCTCATTCATCTCCTTTTCCAATGAGATGCTGGGAAGAAATGAAGATTTTTACTTTTTATTTAAAAGGTCCAAATTATTAATTTAATAGGGAGATTACATGTTGCATTAGCTTCTTCATAATTGTCTCTTTCTATGTCATTTGCTTTGTCTTTAGTGGACTCTTTTTATTATGTCTGCTGACCTGGGCATAATTACGCACTTGATTAGTATGACTGAAATCACTATGTTAGATAGAAATTCACAGATCTTTCATAGTATGAAACAAAAGAAACAGATTCTATGTTTACAAATAGAGCTGTAAACGATCCCTACAGCAAGTTCATCATTTATAGCAAAGGGTGCTATGAATAAATAACTGCATGCTCACTTATTTTTAAGATTACACTGTAACATGTATTGAATACTGAGACTGCGTTACTTATGAAAGCTAAGTTTTAAGCACTTCGCTTTAACATCGGCTTTTATGCATTTAGTCTCACTTCTGGAAACAAACCATCCTGAGTGAATGTAAAGAAAAAAAACCAAAAACACCATCCAAGACACTCACCCCCTCAAGGAGGAACATGGCCAATGTGGTTTATGTCTGAGAAAGCTCTAGGGATCCAAGAGCACGGTCTTATGGGGAGTGCTGGGCAATGTGCACAGTAGAAGCTGCTGGCTCAAGCCTGTAACTGTAGTGCAGTCATGATGAAACTAAGCTGTTCTGACTCTTTCCTTCTCAGACTGCAGTGAGGTACTCTTCCAAAACACCTAGAGTGGTTGGACATTGAGAAAGCTTTAACAAAGGAGAAGAAAGCTGCTGCTCACCTCAGAAAGAAATGCAATGCCTTGGCCAAAAAGGTAGCGTATTCTTCTCAGCAAGCATCGGCTGGCTACATTACAGTGAAAATGTTGTGCTGGTGATTTTGGCTAAGATTGAAAAACAAAATCCTAACCATCTAAGACGCCTCAGTTTGGGTGGAGATATCTGTGGTAGCATGGAAGCAGGAGGCAGCTCACCATGGGTTGCCTGCCCTCCAGAAAAGGGTAAATCAAGGTGGTCCGACCTTAGCTGCTGTGAAGTTTTAGGTCCAGTTCCTTCCCAGCTGTCTAATCACCATGCCACAGCTGAAACTCGATTCTCTGGTTGAGGTAATACACCTGGTGTAGCCTGGCCTATCCTCTGTGCATGTGTCTGAGGAGATTTCAAGAATATTTAGCCTAACACAAATGCAGGTTAAAATAAATGCATAAAAATGGTGTGTTTCCATCTATTGCTTTTAGTTATGTTTTTTTCTTTTGCTCTTTGTCATAGTAATCACTGAATAAACTGTCTTGGTGCAAGTTTTCCTTTTAGCTTTTTTGAGCTGCTGCATTCATCAAGACATTTGACTTATATTAATTCAAAAATATCTTAATTTGAAGGGTTATCCGGGATGGGGAGAGAGTGTTGCCAAAATAACATTAAGCAAGTATTACTTTTATTGTGTCTCAAAAATGTTCCATCAAATATGCTTAACTTACAACATTTTTTGTTTAGTATTTAAAAGCTTTCCTGAGTGCCAGCTGCCACATATTCACCCTGGGGTCTGACATTTGAGTCTGAATTGTTTCTTTCTCATGCAGAATCAATAACCATTTCCAGGCATAACACAATAAAAAAAAAATCTTGCAGACTTTATGGATGTAGAAGTGTTTTAGACTCTGAACAAAGCAGCTCTCTCTTGATACATACAGGGCTTCTCTGCTAAGGAGGATTTCTAAGGAGGCATTTATGAGTGTACATATGTACAGAGGTATTCAGGATAGGATCTTGTCTGAATATTTAGATGAACCTTGTGTTTGCCTGTGAAACTCATCTGTTATAGTATTAAGAAAAAACACAGCATTTTATCTTCTTTCTCTTTGGATCAGGAACTTTAACATAGAACCTTGCTGCCTTATATATTTGAGTACTACAGGATTTTTGTTTGCCCACAATTTGTCTTTCTGCAGGCAAAAGTAGTGGAAACCAGTCTGGACACTGCAGACCAGGAACTGGAGACCTTTCAGTGGGAAAAACAGCAGAGAATGAATGAGCTATATGTAGTTGTGCCTTTGAAACTCCATCAGGTAATTCAAGATGTTGTGCATCTGCAGGTGCACAATAGTCTATGTACATCTAAACAATGGTGCTACTGTTCTTTGGGGTCCTTAGCTCCTGGTTCACCATAGATTCCCGGGAGTAAAGTGCTATTAATTGAACTTCATGCTGCTATTTCCTTCTTTCCTCCTATACTGACAGAAAAAAAATGTAAGGACGGGAGGTTCAGCCCATTGCTGAAATGTGCATTTTCTTCAAGTCTTTTATAGGTTTGGCATGGGATTTTCCTTCAGGTCCATACCTACTGATATTCTCCTGGGGAAAACCAAACAAACCACCTCCCAAAAAAACAAACCAAAAAAGCCCCAAACTATTGAAACTAATAGGAGTTTTGCCTAATTCAGTAATGCTGGATTGGATGCAATGCATTCATCTACACAGCTGTTAGCACAGGGATGATAAGTAGAATATGAAAAGAAAAACTCAAGACAATAGTGTTATTTCCTCTGGGATCAAGCTTGTCCTCAGAGAGAAGATAGGCCTCTGCCCGTTCTGGATTATATACCTCTCAGGCAATATCAACGCTTGCTCTTTGTTCTATCTCCCTTCATTAAAAGGTTGGTAATAAAGACAGAAGAGTCTAAGGCTCAACTCTGCAATCCTGTGACTCTCAGATCATTCAAAAGTAGAGCTGACAGGGAGCCCCTTACTCCCGCTTTGTTCCTGATGCCAGAGAGGGGTAGGCAGCTTCACATGTAGGCAGTCGTCACAGCTCTAACTAGCTTTTCAGCCCTGTTGAGTGACAATGATTCTAGGGCCCAAGACATGAGAGTTGTGTCCACTCCACCTTGGGTAACCCCTTCCAATGCCTGATAACCTTTTCAGTAAAGAAATTCTTCCTAATATCCAATCTAAACTTCCCTTGGTGCAACTTAAGATCATTTCATCTTGTCCTATCATTTTTTATTTAGTTGAACAGACCAATCTCCACCTCTCTACAACCTCCTTTCATGTAGTTGTAGAGAGTGATAAGGTCTCTCTTGAGCCTTCTTTTCTCCAGGCTAAACAACCCCAGCTCCCTCAGCTGCTCTTCCTAAGACGTGCGCTCTAGACCAGCTTTGTTGCCCTTCTTTGGACCTTGCTCGTTAGTTCTCTACCACTTACATATCTGTTATCCAGAGAGATCACCAGCACCCTTACTAAGTAAAGTCAGTCTTGGTTATGGCTGTTTCTTGCAGGTGGAGTACTTGGTTAATGGAGAGATGCCCAGTGACTTCTCCCATGCTTTGGTGTTTACCAACCAGTCCTTAGAGTATCTGCAGAAGAGAATTGTGGACCTACGTAATGAAAAGATAGCGCAAAGAGAGATCTATAAGAAGGCCCAGAAGCAACATAAGCAGCTTGTCCAGGACAAAAAGGAGATGGAGATAAAGATTCGACGTGAGTAACAGAGACTCTGAACACCACAGCGTGCTATTGCTCGTTCTGTACCCCTCAGTAGGTGTGGGTAACTCACCAGATGCCTGTCTTTACATTCACACAGATGTCACAGCTGGTTACTGCAGAAAATAAAACAGAAAGAGCAGATCAAGTGGACAGTTTTAATGAAGCAGTGGTAGTTCTCCAGTATTGTGGAATCATTAGGTTGTGTGAAATAATTTGGGAACTTAGTATAAGGGGAGTTGAGTGAGATGAGACACTGGAAGTTAGGACACACAATTGCTATTTCTGGCTGTAAACCAGAACTCATAGGAAAGAAGTACTTTCCCCAAAGCTGCATAAGCTTTTTTTTGGCACTTTCCTCCTCTGTGTAACATAAGAAGAATGAACCAAGCCCTATTCACAAGACTTTGCTTTCCCAAGGACCAAACCCAAAGACGTGTCTAGCATCACCAAACCTGCAGAGGCCCTAAATAACCCTTTGGTTTGGGAGTGGCATACTAGGACTGGCTTAGAGTGTGGCTCAGTGACCACACAGACATGGTCATGAGCAAGGACAAACAGCAACATTCTGTTGTGAGCTCTGTGTGGTTGTGTGTTAGTTATTTATTACATGGCAGATACCAAAGAGCTTGGACAAAAAGCTGGGCTAAGGCAGAAATTCTTATTAATTGATGAATGACAGCGCTGCCATTTGTGCCCCTTCTGATAGGACTGGAAGAGACATGCAATGATCTGATGATGAAGAAGTTTGGCCGACTGGTTGATTTTGAAGCAGTTCAAGCACGCTCTGTTAATATACACGTGGAAAAGCTGAAAGTGCAAATAATGGAGAAAGAATATGAGCACTCCCAGGAGCTCGAAGAGTGGGAGGTAAGGAGCAGGAAAAGGAGGAAGACACATGTGTGATGGTGATCTGTTAAGGCTTCAGTTCCCTGAGGCTGAATAGTTACACTAAAATCTTTTTTGAACACGTTCACATTTCGTTTTTTTTCCCTTGTCATTAATAGACCATAATGTTTGACTCCCATTTCCCATCATGATTTCTATCTCTGCTCTAGTTGCCTATGCATCCTATTTTCTCTTGGAGGTAGTTAATATCTTTTTGTTTTACTTTTCTCAAATGCATCCTTCTGCTTCGGTCACAATGTGAGGTTCTTCCAGAGTGCTTTCCTTTGGTTTCCAGCTGGCACTAGGCATCCGCTGCCTCCTCCCACCGCCTTTGGTGACAAACCATCTGAGTACCAGGCAGCCCTGGCTCGTGCCGGGTATGCTAGGCTGTGCAGTCTCAAAAGTTTGTGTCTCTGGGGATGCCCGAAGTTCAGCTACTGTGGTGCAAGCAGGCAACACTCTTACTCTGCCCTTACAGAAGGGCGTACACGGAAATACTGTGTAGCTAATGGCTTTCACACGTTTGCCTAACTGCTTTACCTGCTTAGGCATTTGCAGTGTTTAACAAACAAACAAACAAGATGATGACAATGGCAGATTGCACTAAAGCTACTGTGGGATCAGTGTGGCGTGTGCAGGATCAGTCTATTTACCTCTCTTCTCTGACATATTGTGCCTAGTACTTCTTCCTCACTTCACAATTTTTGTCCTTCCTCTCACTTTTTATATCTTCCTAGAAAAGAATCTCAGACCTGCAGCAGCAGCTAATGAAGCTGACAAAGGAAAACACCAGCAAGATGCAGCAGCTGAACCAGTTTTACCTTGAAAAGGAGCAACTTGAAACGAAGCTAGCTTCACTAAAGAATGATGTGGTAAGCCTTTTAGCTGCTATCATACATGCTGGTTTGTGACTATTCAGAAATGGGGAAGGGATCCTCTGGCCCTCAGCGGCTCTCTCGTCTCACATCCTGCTCTGCAGTCAGCAGTTTGGGCTAATATTTGCCTGGTGGCACAAGGGGAGTGGCTGACCAAGTAGGCCATGTCTTCACTTCTCTCTAACTCCTTACTTAGCTGCTTTCTAGTACTGAAACAAACTCAGCTTGTTTCTAATTGAAAAACATCTTGCAGCAAGTCAAAGTTATTCCTTTGTTACATTGAAACAACCAAATAAATGTAAGTGTTTGCTCTGTATTAGGGAACAAGGCAGCCCCCGGGACAGTCATAAGTTAGTTATCCCTCATTCTGACTGACAGCTGCTTCTGAGTGAGGAGAAGTCATGAAGCTGTCCTGCCTCTTGGAAAGCTTTGCCTTCCATGCTTGAAATTATTTTCCAGTGTTCATTCTCCCTGTTTATAGGAGCTATCTTTTCCCTCATTACAGGGAGTAGAATTTCAGGGCACCCAACCTACGGCTGTCACAGAGCAGGCCAGGCTGGAGTCACGGCTCAAGCACGCAGCTTATGACACAGCCCTCCTAAGAGAAGAAATCAAGCTTCTACGCAGAAAAGATGGGTGCTTAAGAGAAGAACTCGCTCTCCTTAGAAACGATGGGCACCTCTTCCTACAACCTTCATCACCACAGGACTCGGAGACACCAACTGAATCATTCCCTGTTTTACACCAGAGACGGTAACAGTCCAAGTATTTCTTAAAACCAGACGTGGCCAACTGGGGCGTTAGCCATACCTTAAGTGTGAAATGCATTGCTTTGGTTATGCAGGAGTTTAGTTGTAAAGGGTTGTACTTGTTTTCCTTATCAAAATGTGACTGTAGTGACAGATAGCAATAAAAAAGTGCAAATACAACCAGGAAATGCTTTTATCAGTCCATTGTGGAGATTTGTACTGGGCAGATACTTTGTGTCTGTGTGTGCATCTGTGCATGTCTGTCCTTGAAATGAACAGCTTTTGCTGGATATGAGTTTCACATGTGTAAATCTTAGGCTGTTACTCAAAAAATGGTAAAAGAGATCTCCTTAAGGGTGTGTTTTGTTACTTTTTTGGAACATCCTAGCAGCAATGGCAATTTTCTGCTAATTGAGCTCATAAGAGTCATTGTAAAAAGGGAAGGGAAATGCTTTTTGTTTGGAGGAAGCAAAGGGACCTTTCTCCTTAGGGCCTAGAGTGCTCATGCGGGTATGGAGCCAGCCGAAGACTTCCCCATTTGCCTCTGCTTTGTAGCAGTGGAAAATTGTGTCCCAGTGCAGGATGAAGTATTTACCTGGCAGGAGGAGAGTATAGCAAACACAAAGTCAGCCTGTAATTCCACTGGCTTGCACCTGCCCAATCAGAGTGCGTTCTCAGGTTTTATTCTGTTTTGCTTCTGGCATTTGGTATGGCAGCAGCATGCGATCGTTAACAGCACTGCCTGGGAAAACTTGCTTCATCCCCAAAGCAGAGGGTTTGTGTTGTGCTGTTCTCCCAGCGCAAAGTTCCTGAGGGTGCATGAGGAGGCTTGGGGTTTGTGGTTAATTTTTGACTAAATAGATGGAACAACCTGCAGCAGCTCTTGCTCTTCTTCCCCACTCCCTGCCTTTTGCCCTTGGTCTTTGCTCCCGTCTGGTGTACACTCAGCCGGGATCCAGCCCCAGCCCAGCCAGGAACAAGCACTGCCCCTGCTGGCCCCAGCCCAACCAGATGAATGGTACCCGTGCTGATGGGGAGATGCTGAGCATCTCCTGCTTCCTTAAGGGAAAAAACCCCACCCTCATCCATGAAAGCTGTTGAAGCTGGAAAAGCACAGGATAGTGAGTGGGGGGAATAAGGAAACAAAATTTGCAGAGGTTTGGGTGTCTGTCTGCCCTGCCCACCCCCCGCAAATCACCCAACTCATGCAGCTGTCATTAGAGATAAATGAAAATTTCCTTTCCAGTTTCCTGTCACTTCGCTGGCACAGGCAGCAGCTGTCCCTCTTCTCCTGAGCTCGGCATTAAGATTCATGTTGGTGGCTATTTGGAAAACTCTAACTGCAGGAACACGTCACCTTTCCCCAGGTGTCCTGCTTCCTATATGTCTACAAGTGAAAAAAAAGAAAAGGAGATTCATTCTGTGGGAGGATTTAGCATATGGCCAGCCGCAGTAAAAGACTAAAGCCTTTATTTTAGATGTTAAAGCACGGGTTTGTCTTTACAGATACGCGGCTGCAGATGGCGTGTACGTGAAGGGTTGCTTAGGTTGATTAGGCAGAGTGGATAACTCGAGTCCATTCACAGGAGTGTGCTCCTGGGACAAACCTTCCTGTGGGGGAGAGGAAAAGACCTTTTTGACAGCGTTATCTTTTGTGAAGCCCTCATTGCAAGAGAGTGCTAGAAGTTGGTGGTGGCAGCTCTGTTTGGACCTGTGTCCTGTGATGGCTCTTGTGCTGGTGTTTCAATCTTGTGCTCTGACGAACAGCCCAGCGCCACAAATAGCTGCTGCCTTGCTTCTTGGGCCCTCCTGTGACCTTGCTGAGGATGCCTTCTGTCTCCATAGCTTTATAAAAGGCACATATACATCTATATACAAGTGCATAAATATATAAATAGGGGTGTTATACAAAAATAAATACCCATTCTCTTTTTCTCTTTAGAATAAGTCTTTTGTAAAAGGCAGCTTGGTCCCTAGCTGGTGGGAGTATGAGTCTCTGAGGGCCTCGGCGGTGGCAGGCTGCTGTTCACATGTCTCGGTAGGTCCTGACCCAAAGATGTGATCACTGGATTCTGGGGATGGAGATCTCCTCTGGACTGGCAGCAATCGAGTCTTTCTACCTCTTCAACTGGCACTAGGCCTAGGCAGCAAGGGCTTCCTGAAAGGCAAAGGAGCAAGAAATGATTACAGTACATACAAAAAGGAGAGATGCTGTGGCAGCTTTCTAGTCAACAGTCTGCTTTATGAGGACACGTACTCTGATCAAAGAGGAAGATCTGCATTCTGAAAGTCCTGGCTACATGGGAGTTTGATCTATGCTTGCACACAGGAGAAGTTCCCTGAAGGGGTGAATGAATGGATCTGATCCTAGGGAGATGGATTCACATAATTTTTCCAGGACCTTGTTGTTTTACTGGTGGTCTGGAAAATGCAAAATTGAGGACTAAAGGATGGCATCTCTCCAACTCGAAGTGGAGATGTGCCTTTCTGGCAGCATATAGCTCGAGCTTCTGGAGAAACGAGAACCGTGTAATCTGAAAGTGACTGAGGCAGTTTACAGTCCCCAACTGCTTGCATAGACTTTCTGTGCTCCTGTCCTATGCAGTGTTAAAACTGTCCTTGCCCCACAGAAGCAAGCATGGACAGAGCCATTAGAAAGGCTCTACAATGAGATTTCCCTTCAAGATTAGCATAAAATGATGAGATAATGCAAGCAGGGAGTTTTCCAGACCACTGACCTTGGTGGAAAAGGGGATCCCCTCGAGCATCCAGGCTCAGACCTCCCACTTTGCTGCCCATCACTGGGTGATGGAGGCCACCAAAGCGCTCTTGAAGGTGAGGACAGTCATCTTGTGGCTGAAGAAGCTGGTGAGTGGAGTCATCTGGGAGACTGTAGAGAAAAGAGCTGTCTTCTGATCTCGAGTTGGGAAATCTGGGAAGGCAGAGAGAGAGGTTTAGCACTATTAACAGATCTTGCCTGCTTGAAAGACGTGACATGTAACATCTGAGCCAGCTGCATCAATGCAATGACATAGAGCATTCCTAAATGAGGGGAAGAGCAGAAATTGGGATGTAACTGTGGGATGGGAAATGAGGTGATGGGACCTGATACCCACGATTCAACATCTGGCGAATGCTGCAGGAGCTGGGAGAAGTAGTGCCTCCCGAGGAGCATGGGAATAATGACTCAACGTCAGCGAGAGACAAATCATCTGCAATGGGACCCTGGCCAGGTTCCAAGGCATTCAGTGACAGCTGTTAGCGTCTCTCATCTTACTTTTCAGTCCCCCACTTAGAAGCAAGGGGAGAAGAAGCGGGCGCAAGGGGCAGTAGCTCTTGGCCATCTCTGAATCATCGATCCCTCAAAACATTAGAGGAATGAGACATACAGAGAGAATTCAGACCAAGAAGGCCTAGTGCTGGAGCGGGGTTTTGTTTCCCAAGTGAACTGGGACAGATGGGACCGTGGTAAGGGCAAGCTTTTGTGAGCATTTAGTCTTGTGGGTCCCACTGGATTGTTCCACCCCGCTCCCTCCCCAAGCCAGGACTAACCTGGAAGGCTGACAGTCTTGCTGGGCATTCCCGTTCTGCAGCACTCTCGCCTGCAGCAAGGCGTTGGTCTCCTCGTGTGACTGCAAGGAGAGAGAAGGATTCTCAGCAGAGCAAATGCCACGCAGCAGCAGCATTAAAAGGCAGGTGCTGGTCTGGGAGCCAGAGCCCTGGGGCAGCCTGCTGAAGCTCATGGGACAGAAGGCAGAGAAAGACGAAACTCTTTCTTTTGCTACAGAGGACAGTGGAACTGAGCACTGAAAAACTCACTTTGCTGAATGAATGGGGTGGATCACAACCAATTTATAGTCTCAGCTGCGGTACTGCCTTGGCCTGTGTTACTTTTTACACACAGAGTCCTCAATGTTGTCAGTACCCTTGAGCTTTGCTCAGGAGAAATGGGAACCATTCCCATAAGTGCAGCCTTTGCTCCCTGCCTCCTCCATACTTAGAGCCACTGCCCCAAGAAACCACCTCTGCACCAGTGTTTTGGAGACCTTCCTGTTCCTCCCATGTCTCAGGCTCCACTGCAAAGGGGAAATCTCTTTTGAGAAGCCAGCCTTGCCCCTTATACATGCTGCAAAGAGTGCCAGCCATGTCTGGAGAAGCCCCCTCTCTGCAACCGTGGCCTCCAGCCCATGTCAAACCAACTTTTAACTACAGCTGTGGACATACCGGTGGCATTTCATCCAGACTGTAATCTCGGGGCTTGGTGCTTGCATACCCGCCTCCTGCAGAGGGGCAGATGCCATTCAGGTGTGCCCCACTGGTGTAGGGCTGCCCGCTGACATAGGGATGTCCATTGGCACGAGGAGCAGAGAGGCCCCTCAGAGGCACCATGGTGTACTGGCAGGATGACACCAGCAGCCCAGCTCCTGGGAAGCCCATGTCAATGGTTTGCTCTGCAGAGGGAAGAAAAAGGAAGTCTGAGGTCAAAATCAGAGGTAAAGTTGAGCTTTTTGAAGCTGTCCTATCAGGCAACTATTTCAGCACCCAAAGGACCCTTGGAGACAAACAGTGGAAAGGGACTCTACACAAAAGTAAAGGGAGTGCCCCTCTCACCCTGTTCTAGCCCTAGGGTTCCTTCTGAACAAGGTAAGCAGGACCAGGGTCAAACAGTGTTCTTTGTCTTTACGGGTGTTCACAGGATATTTGAGACTTGCTCTCTGCTCACCTTCTCCCTGCTTCCCAGAACATGCAGCCCTCACATTTTGGATGTTTGACCCAACTACAGCCAGGGTCAGATCTAATCCATGGGGCAGAGAACATCTTGTAAATCAGCCCTCAAGAAAGAACCCTTACTCTGCTTGGACCAGGCTCTCCAAAGGCAAAAGGGGATGAAAGCCACGATGAGGAGCACGATAGAGCCCAGCACAACGCCTACAATCAAGTATGGCAAGTCGCTGGAACGGGCCACCATGGCTCCTGTCCCCAGGCCGCTGTGCCCACCACTGAGCGGGGGATGCTGCTGGGGGGACACTGTGGAGGGTGGAAGACGACCTGGCAGACCAAGAGATCTCCGAGCTGTGAAGGAGAGAGAGAGAGAGAGAACGTTAGACACAGACATGGCAGATGGAATACCAGCCTGCTCCAGGGATGTCTGTGCTGTTGTGGAGTGGACAGACATCTACAATGGCTTTAAATAAGTGCTTCTGGATGACAGAGGATGTCCTAGGCTGATGCGTATTGCAGTACAGACGAGACCTCTGTGCTTGGCTTACAGATCTGCCAAGCTCTTGGACTGCTAAAGCCATAGGGAAATGGAAAAGAGCTTGTCCAGAACAAACACTTGGACTTAATGCTGTTCCTATCATGACAGTGCAGTTGCTTGGAAGACATCGTCAGACCCCCTTATAAGGAGTCTGGCAAGGGAAAGTTAGCCCTTCCAGTTCCAGGCACCCACCTATGGGAGAAATTAGGAAAACAAAGCGTAACTACTACTCTGAGGGAAACGGTGATGGACTCCGCACAAGGGGCCTGTAAGCACTGGTGTGGGTAAATACACACAATGATCCACAAACCTACGCCTCTCTTCTCCCCAGCGCTGCCTCCATCACCTTGCCTGAGCCTGGACAATGCACCATGAGGCAGAGATAGTACCTGCCTTGCTGTGCCCTGACAGCCTCATGCAGGGAAAGCAGCAGCCTGTGCTCCCAGAGGTGCCCTGTGAAGCTGGTTACCTTTGGTCTCACAGATCATCACGTTGCTGAACTCGCTTTCACCACCCTCGTTGAAGCACTGCATCTTAATGTCGTACGAGGTCTCTGGCTGCAGGTGGCTGATGGAGTGCCAGTACCGATCTCCTGAAGGGGGAACAAACACAGGGGGCGTTAGCTTCCTCAGGGAACACACAGCTGGCCCAGTTCTGCAGCAGTGCTGGGTAGAGCAGGCCTGGAGAGCAGCAGCAGCTGCCTTTTGTGTGCAGGACTCCTTCTGGCTGTGTTACTCTTCCAAGAGGAACCAGCAGCTGGGACCTGTCTCTCTGTGTCTCCTACCTTCCACCATGTCCTTCTTGTAGTCGCTGTCATTGTCACTGTCAGTGGGGCGGTAGTAGATATAAAAACCATGGATGGGAGTGTTGTTGTTGCTGGCCGGGATATACTGTAGGGAATGGGAAGGAGAGCAGAAATTAGCAGATGTCTGTGCTCCACAAGGTACTAGGTGAGGAGCAGAGGGCATAAGTAGGATGGGACAGGAGGAAGACCCAGCCTGGGCATCTTCACTGTGTTGCCACTGGTTTGCACGTTAAGGGCTTCCTTGTGAGAACTCTGTGCTATTTTATACTCTCACACCTTGTTTCTCCCAGGTAACAGACAAGCCATGAGTCTGGTGCTGTCACCCTAAATGTCCGGTACTCTGCTTCCTCTCAGCAGCCTCAGCCAATGCTTCAGAAAAAAATAAAATTCCTCAACAACAGTGATTTGGCTGGGCACGGACAAGCATACCTTCACCTTGACTCCAGTAGGCTCATGGCTTTCAGACAACCTGCATCTTGCCACAAACTGGTGACCACAGGAGTCTCATGTGTTTCTGAAGACAGCCCTGTTCCTCCTCCACCCAGGGCAGTACTGTCCCAGCTCCATGTGTTTTTGCTGTCTTTCACCCAGTCCTTTATCAGCTACTGTTTGTGTTTAAATGAACAGCAGTGCCCACCTGGCCCTGTAGCAATTTCTGGCTAGAAGCAGCTAGAATAAGCTCTCAGCTGATGGAAACACTTGGATCTGGGCTTGTGATCCAAAAGACTCTGCCCACTCCTAAAAATGCCCTGGGGTGGGCTGCTGTAAATGACTGTCAGCACTCAGGACTGCTACCCAGCAAGTGAGAGTGAAGGACGTATCTGCTGAAAACTAGTAGGACAGACAGAGGTGTGAATGGATTCCAGGAATTTGGCCAGAGGAGCGAGCAGCTGCCCCGTGCGCTGCTGAAGTGTGCTTGTTGAAGAAAATGGTCGAGACCCTGAGGTTATTTGCTGAAACGCCTCAAGTGTACAATGTCGGATTCAGACCAAGAGGGTTTCCTAGGCTCTCTGACTTCCCCCACTTCTGTGTGGCCCAAGCCCAGTCGTCCTTTGGTAGAAGGAGCTGTTGGATCCGAGATCTATTTCTCCTGGTGACAGGCTCCAGTGTAGTAACCTGGAAGATGTGTAAGCCGGGCAAGTAGCACCCACACATCTGCTTCCTCCACATTTGGAGACCTCTGCCCCCTACAAACCTTACCATCCACTTCAGCATGATGGTGGTCTCATTGATGGCATCTGTGAAGGTGATGTATGGCCCAGCCACAGGGCGCTCGTAGACTCGATTGCTGTACCCAGACACCATATATGGCCGAGACGCTGCACTGGGCTCGCTCTCTCCCAGGATATTCAGTGCCCGGACACGGAATTTATAGGACATGCCTAGGGGAAAAAGTGGGAAGTAGAAGAGTTGCAGAGATTTGAGTCTTCCGAGACTTCTACTGTCAGCACAGACCTGACTGTGGAGAGGGGCTACATCTTCTGGAGAAGGCAGATTGCCTACAGAGTGGGTTTGATAGAAGTACAAACACTGAATGGCCAGATTTCGGTCATGTGTTAGATGGGAGCCTGCTTATATTTGCTTCCCTCAATTCCGATGTGGATGGTCTAGAGGTCAGGTAGCAGTTCTGGAAGGTGTGTGGAGGGATTCAGAGATGCCTGCAAGCATGTCCTGACTTGAAAGCAGGTATGGGAAGGCATTCTTCCTCTACTGCATGGAAATTAAGTACCTAAACATCAGGTAAAAGCTCAAAGCCTAAATATTTTTTACCCAAATGTCATTCTACTGGTCTCAACGTCGAGGTAGATAAGTTACCCTTTCAAGCTGTCCAGCTCAGTGATGCCATCTTTTCTTATGTGAGGTGCAATGGGAACTGCATGCCCATCTGTTTTGCCCGTGGCTAAGGAAAGTTCTGTCCTGTCTAGTAAATGGCAAAACTAAATGCCTTTAGTAACTGTATCCTGTAATACAGAAACGACTGTGTAAGCCTCCCTGAGGGAGGTCAAATCTATGCTGGTCTTTGCAGCTGGAGAAATCGGAGAAGCATCTGCAGCTTTTCCCCATTCATCTACGGCTGGAGCTGGGGAGGCTTTGTTTTGCCCGCACATGCCGGGGCTAAGCAGGACGTGACAGATGGCTCACCGTCCTACTGCGACCGCACAGCTTCCCTACAGCCCTCTGAGAAGCAAGGAGGAAAACACCTGCCTACCTTTCTCCAGGCCTGGGATTTCCACAGAGAGGCGAGAGGGAGGAATGTCGCTAGTGGCCAGGACCCAGTCTCCTAACTTTTTCAATTTCTTATATTCCACACGGAAAGATTGGATGGGGAACCCGCCATTCCCACGGGGAATCCAGGTCACGTACACAGATGTTTCTGACGCCATGGAGATGGTTGGACGGTCCGGTGCCTCTGGAGCTGAAAGGGGCACAGAAGGACATTAGGACATGAAACACATTTCTCTCGCCCTGTCTGGAGGATCCTGTAGCTCCGAGGTATGTGGGTGAAGGCCTACCTGCATTGCACCCACCCACATGCTCTTTAAGTCCTGAATGCTCTTCTTTCTGTCTCTTCATTAGAGCTGGCATCCCCAAATCCTCACTTCTTTCAGTTTGGGCCCTGCAAACATCTTTTACTCCTGCTTGCTCCTTTTCCACTCCCAACTCAAGTAGGATGAGACAAGGTTTGAAGCGTGTACACCCATTGCACAGAGGGCGAGCGGTGAGAGGTGTGGATGCAGGGCCAGAGAGACAGCAGACAGCCTGGCTGGTGTGGAAGCAGTGAGAGACTGACGCTGGGGACAGATGAGTGTAGGAGATGAAAGCAGGAGAGATAGAGAAGAACCAGCTGAGGAGGAAATAGGGAAAAGTTTTGAACGGCAGAAATGTAATTTCGTGGGAAAACAATGAAAAGATGGGAGGGAAAAAGGTGAATGGAGCTGTGGAGATGCAAGAAAAGGCAATGCGTGAATAAGTGTATGGGATTGAAGGAGGGGACTTCCCAGAAAGGACAAGGATTCAAAGAGAATATTTTACAGAAAGAGATAATGATACTGGAGACTAACAGTAATAGCAGACACAAGGTGGGAAACGATGACTTGGGTTAATCAGTAAGGAACTGATCTTTCTGCAGTACAACAAAATACCCAGATGGAGCACCCTGCACCCCTAGAATGGACACAGACTGTCCCTTGTCAAGGTTGACTGAGAAAAGAGGGTGCCAGGACCTTCAGTGACCTGGTTCCTCTTTCTTCCTTGCATTCCTCCAGCACCCACTGGTGCACGGCACCTTGTTGGTCCTGCGTGCCACACATTCACAGATTCCACAGCAAGGGCTTTCTGAACCCTCCGTGTGAAACAGAGCAAGAGACAGCGAGTTTCCAACAAGTCTTGCCATTAATGGTGGAGCCAGGTGGCGGGATCAGCCTGCTCTCCTACGGCAGACCACCTGCAAAGTGCAGTAGCAGGGGTGCCTGAGAAAGGACCTCTCCTTGTCAGGAGCTAGAGGCCACCCATCCAGCTTTACACAGTCTTGCTTTACACAGGGCAGACTTCAACCCCAGCATAGCCTGGCCACTGCCACCCATAAGAGATAGAGAATCACAGAATCACAGAATGGCCTAGGCTGGAAGGGACCTTAGAGATCATTTAATCCAACCTCCCTGTCATGGGCAGGGATGCCTCTCAACTAGATCAGGCAACACATGGGGACTGAACGGGCATTGAACCCATGACCTTGGTGTTATCAGCACCACGCTCAACTGACTGAGCTAACCGGCCAGCACTCCCCACCCTCCCTCCTTGACCAGTTCAGAAAGAGCCTTACGGGACAGGCGGCTATTGTCGGACTGGTTACTGCTCTGAGTGCTCGTGCCCGGATCATCCCTCTGGATTTGCTGCTCTTTGCTGGCAACAATCTCTGGTTTGGGGCGCCGGCCTGTGCAGAAGGGAGAGGTGGCATTAGTGACATGCAGATGCGGCTCAGAGGTAATTTTGGTTGTGATGAGCAGAGAAAATATTCCCAGATGCCGAGGTAAGTACTCTCTGGACTGAAATGGCCCTAGGGGTTCAAAGCACTCAACCTGCAGACAGGAACTAAAGCTTAAGGGACAGGTTTGTTAAGCTCATAATAGGTCTCCCTCATATTTATTTTTCTAAAAGTTTCAATTAGTTTTCTTGGAATTTTGCTAGATTTCTGCTTGGAAAGGCACTAATTAGCACAAGATGGGGGCCTGAGGGGAGATGTGAATGAGCCCACCACCATGGGGAGGGAATGCCAGGCCCCACACCGGCTGGAGACGTGAAAAGCAGCCAAGGGACAAGGGGGACTTAGTGTAGACATTTGGAACATCCTTTCAGTGGCAAAGACAGCTTGGCACCAAGCAGACCCCTTGGGAAGGCTTGGCATTTCCTTTAGCACAGGACAAGCTTTTAAGGACAGATTAGACAAACACCTGTCGGGAACAACTCCCCCAGTCTGATCCTGCCTGCAGGCAGAGGATGGATTAAATGACGATTTGACATTTCCATCAGACTTATTTTCCATGGTTCTGCAGGTGTCTAACTGAGACATGGGAGGAAGGGACTCAGACCAACCGAGCCAGAGGGGAAGATCTGATTTTTTTCCCCCATCCTGTTTCAATCTCACTTTCCCTTCTGCCAGAGTCGCTCTAAGCTGAGGGCAGATGGGTTTCCGGAGCAGAAACAGCCCCTTTGTCCTAAGGCATGTGCCTCAGGGCTGGGGTGGGATGTCTTGGAGGGGCCCTTCCCTGACTCAGAGCAAAACACCCAGGGAAAGGTTTGACCTTTACCAGTCCGGAAGGTCACCATGGCCGTCTGTCCCTCGCCGGCGCAGTTGTGAGCGGCCATCTCCACCTCGTAAAGGCTCCCAGGGTCCAGCCTGGTGAGGGTTAGGCGGTGCTGCGAGGCTGGGACCTCCCTCACCACCCAGCTGTCCGAGGCGTTGGTGACCTGCTGAGAGATCAGTGCAAGCATTGCAAACCTGGGGGCGGGCTGGGCTGCTTGCCTGCACCGTGCTCAGAAACTTTCATGGCAGATGTGTATCAACCAGGGCTACCATCCCTGACCAGAGGCCAGTTCCCTGCCTGCAAGGGAGCGAGATGTTTCCAGCCTGAATTTGCAAAGCTGAAGGATTCAGGTGTAAGCAGGACAAGTCACCAAGTAGGCATGCCCACAAAAGGCAGCATTAGCCAGAGGCTTGAGCTGCTTTAGGAGACAAAGCTCCCCTCAGCCCAGCTGCTGAGCTGCAGCTTTAGTCATTGGCCATTTCCATGGGATGAGGGGCCTGGACAGAACTTTGGTCATCTGGACCTAAATAATCTGATTAATGGCTTTTTAGCCGCTTTTATCCAGCCTCTCCACTGTCACTTTCTGGTTGAAATGAGGAACTGTAACATCTCAACACAGGTTTCTGCTGGGAAGAGACCACGTATGGCCACGCCATCCAGAAATGCTTGGAAACACAGCTCATTTTTCAGTGATGCTGCTCATGCCCCATGTGGAGGGGAGGGAAGGTGGGACCTTCCCCCTTCTCCCCAGCTGCAAGAATAATATTTTTGCAGGCAAATAGGCAGGACACTGAAGTGACCCGGTGCCAAAAGGAGCATTAGCAACGCAGGCAATGCAACAAAACGGAAATGCCAAGACTCTGCTGTATCATTTATCTTTGAGCATTTGACACTGACTGATTAATGCCTGCCTTGTTTTATTTTTTTTCCTGAGCCCATGGAGTTGTGAGGCCAGGGAGGGGAGCCCTAAAGACTGCTACTATCCAGGATAGAAAAAGAGAAATTCTTAAGAAACCAAGATAATGGCTGTGTGGCATCTGACTGCTGCAGGCTGCTGAGATTCTAAGGGCAGTGTAGAAGCAGGGAAAAATAGACATCTGCAGATATTCTCCAGAGGAGAAGCAGACTCTTGCTTGCTACAGATGTAAGCCTCCTGCCAGCAAGTTTTACTTTCCTTATAGCCATGTCTCATACAAAGAACCTTTTCTTTTGTTGCTAAATTGATTCCTTCCCTCTCTGCACACATGCTTTTCCAGTCAGAGATGTCAAAACCAGATCATTATATAACTTGATCCTAAGGATCTCTGATAGAAAGAGACTCTTTCTAAAACAGTTTAAGCATTACTGGGACTAATTCCCTTCCACACAATCCTTAAGCATCCCAAGAAAGAGCCTCCAGCTGAGAATTTGGACTACACTGAAAACATATTACTGCAAACTGCAGTGACCCACGGTGACCTCCACTGCCCTACAGCCCCTTCCAGGTGAAGTGCTGAAAAACAAATAAAATATGGACAAACTCCAGCCTGCAAGTTAAGATTGCATGCAGAATTAGTAGCTACATGATACACTACTGGGGGACAAATCTCTTCTTGGCAGACAACCAGAGCCAATAGTCTGGTAAGGCTTTTGGCATCTTTTGGTTTTTATTTAAGCTTGTGCTATTGTGTTCTTGTGTTGGCATCTTCTGCCTTTGTTTTAAAGGGCACTTTAAAGAGACGGTTAGCCAAAACCCTCAGCTGAAGTTTTGTTTAGAAAGAAATCAAGGATGTGTGGGGATTATAACAGCCTTCTGTTATACTGTGTTTTCACAAGCCCAACAGTTCCAGGAAAACAGATATATATATCCACATACAATTAAAAACGGTGCCTTGCAGTGTCTGGGAAACCAAAACAGGCCAGATCTGCAATGTACACTATCCCCAATGCACAGCCTGTCCCTCTACTGCAACTCTTTGCCTACCCAAAGGAAACACAAGCAGCAAACAGAGAAATTCAAGCCCCCTTTTTCCCCACTTATCCCCCAGCAAAATGAGAAGAGATGCTCTACACCTCAAAAGCAGAATTTTTGCCTCAGCAAAGCTCCACTATTTAGAGAAACTGCTGGGCTACAGCTCTGCCTGAACTCTGCCTATGGTGCTGAGAAGCACCACAGAGGGCAGGATCCCTTGGACCCAGTCAGGGCTTGGCAGTGACACGCTGTGCCACTAGGCAAGAGACGTGCTTGACAGCGCACTGCCTTTCAGCTTCCAGAATAAATCTGGTGGTTGAAGATCTCCCCAGAGGATTTAGCATGGCTGTGCTGGCTCTCTGCTGGCTCCTCACTGCTACAGAGCATGGGTGCTTCAGCGCCGCTGAGCAGGGCAGGTGTGGGCAGTGGAGAGAGGCTGCTGCTCTGCGTCCTGCAGCCCAAGCCATTCAAGGCAGAGGTTTCCCTGTAGCTTGTGCCAAGACAAAAGCATTACAGAGAAAGTCACTGTGCAATCTGCCTCAAGACTTTCTCCTCGTGTAAGCATACAGCTGGGAATTGGAACTGGGAGCTCTTCAGACTGGAAATACATGCGCATGCATGTGCTCTCTACGTACTTAGGTAGAACATATGGGATAGCATAGGCAGACCATGGGGATAGCACCATTAAGGGTTCTTCTTGGATAGCTTGGCAAACCTCCTCTCACAGCCTGTACTCATCACGCCACAACAGGCTGAGGCTGCAGATGAGGAGGTCCCACCAACCAGCGCTACACCAGCGAGCAATGGGTGCCCCCGCCCCAACGCACCTGCCCATGAGGTGCGAAAACATGTGGTGAGGCCACCAGCCTGCCTGTGGGATGGCACAGAGGAAAGATGGGAGCAGAGCGGAACAGTGATACCTTGCGATGCTTCACCACATAATAGAGGATGGGGGCTCTGCTGTCAGGCCGGGGTCTCCACACCAGATCGTAGCTGTCTGTCTTGGATGTCCGGGGAGAACTGAGGATGATGGGGGCCTCAGCTGGAGACACCGGCTCCCTGTTGGCTGCACACTGCTGAGATGCTGTCAGCGGGGTTGTCCCAGGCTTTGGCGATCCAGCTTTCTCAAGGGGCAGCCTTAAGGCACTGTCCCTGGAAGGTGGTGTTGTCGGCTGAGCCGAGCCCAGCTGGGCATCTCGCCCAGGCTTCAGTGTAGCTCCTGCAAGACAAGGTATTGAAGCAGGGTAAATGCCTGTCCCGGTCTGTGATGAAGACAGAGCTATGAGCTCCTTGAATCTCTCAGAAGACCTCTCAAACAGAAGCAGGAGGGTTACACACCAACTTTCTTCTCCAGCTTGCCCTTTTCTTTCCCTGTATGTTAGGCTCTGGGATCATATAGTCATGAGCTTGGAGAGAGGGACTTACCCGGCTCGGCTGTCCTCAGCTGCACCATGGCTTGTGCGCTGC